GATAAAAAAAAGAAAAAGTTTCCTTATTGCTGCTTTTTCTGAAGCGTAATTAAACGGTTTGAGGGAAACGTCTCTTTTCCCAGTTGGTCTCCCTTCCACACACAGCAAACGTTCATATTCCTGTAAAATACGGGGAGCTTGTGGAACTGGAGAAAACAAACGTGGATTAACAATGAGCTTTGACTACAGCTTGATAACACACTGTGAGAGCCAAGATTTACACAAAAACGAGTGAATAAGGAACTCCAAACAAAGAGTTTATGAAATTAAGCAAAAAATGTGTTGTTCTGTCTGAAAAAGAAAACAAGCAGAGATCTAAGAGGACGTTCGCCTCATCATGTGACGACTAGCTGCTCGCTAGAAGGACTTCAGCTAACCAAAGCCTAGCTGTGATTGTTGGTTTATTGTCCAAATATGGCCGCAGCTGATGCTTGAAAGTCCATCGACCATGTGGATCAGATTAGTCAGGTAAAAAAAAAAAGGCTGGCACAGATAAAGCAGAAAAAGAAAATTTTGCACACATGCAAGTTTTAATCCGTGTATCATTCGTTCTTTCTATTTTCAATTGCCAATCAAAAAACAAAAAAATAAAAAATTGACTGGTTATTTTGTTATTTGTTTTTTATGGTTAAACCAAAAACGAAAAAAGGATTTGTTTTTCATATATCAATTCTAAGCTCAGATCAAGAATACGAAATGGAAAAACGGACAGAATCCGTGTATCATTCGTTCTTTCTATTTTCAATTGCCAATCAAAAAACAAAAAATAAAAAATTGACTGGTTATTTTGTTTTTAGTTTTTTATGGTTAAACCAAAAACGAAAAAAGGATTTGTTTTTCATATATCAATTCTAAGCTCAGATCTAGAATACGAAATGGAAAAACGGACAGCAACGCATAATTTGATTTTAATATTTAATCGGTACAGTTTACGTGACCCGGAAATAGCTCTTTGCGCAGCAGTTGGGGTAATGAAGTGGTTACCATGGCGACGCTAGAACCATACACTATGTTGATCGAGAAGCTGTTTGTTGTTGCTAGTTAAAAGTACAGTGCACAGAAAAGTTTCAAGACAAAAGTTATACCTGGAAAATCCTGCTGATTTTCTCCGTTGTCATATTCTCCTCCTTAAGAGTCACACGCTTGGATCCTCGAAATAAGACGTAACTGTCCATGGCTGATAGGTCCGACTGCCTTATCTGGTGCAGCTTGATCGAACGTGGTGGGGGTAAGCCAATTGTTTTTTTAGCTAACGCTCCACCAAAATTCCGGGTCACGTAAACTGTACCGATTAAATATTAAAATCAAATTATGCGTTGCTGTCCGTTTTTCCATTTCGTATTCTTGATCTGAGCTTAAAATTGATATATGAAAAACAAATCCTTTTTTCGTTTTTGGTTTAACCATAAAGAACAAAAAACAAAATAACCAGTCAATTTTTTATTTTTTGTTTTTTGATTGACAATTGAAAATAGAAAGAACGAATGATACACGGATTGGACAGCAACGCAGAATTTGTTTTTAATATTTAATCAGTACAGTTTACGTGACCCGGAAATAGCTCTTTGCGCAGCAGTTGGGGTAATGAAGTAGCTACCATGGCGACGCTAGAACCACACACTATGTTGATCGAGAAGCTGTTTGTTGTTGCTAGTTAAAAGTACAGTGCACAGAAAAGTTTCAAGAAAAAAGTTATACCTGGAAAATCCTGCAAATTTTCTCCGTTGTCATGTCCTCCTCAAGAGTCACACGCTTGGATCCTCGAAATAAAACGTAACTGTCCATGGCTGATAGGTCCGACTGCCTTATCTGGTGCAGTTTGATCGAACGTGGTGGGAGTAAGCCAATTGTTTTTTTAGCTAACGCTCCACCAAACTTCCGGGTCATGTAAACTGTACCGATTAAATATTAAAAACAAATTCTGCGTTGCTGTCCGTTTTTCCATTTCGTATTCTTGATCTGAGCTTAGAATTGATATATGAAAAACAAATCCTTTTTTCGTTTTTGGTTTAACCATAAAAAACAAATAACAAAATAACCAGTCAATTTTTTATTTTTTGTTTTTTGATTGGCAATTGAAAATAGAAAGAACGAATGATACACGGATTAGTTTTAAACACAATCGCCTATTTACAATATTCACAGAAATCTACAGTTTTATGCTAAAGTTTTACATACGGTCATCATTAGCATGAAAGTCTGAATTTGGAGGCTTTGAATGATCGATTTGAACCGTTTTTATTTGAACAGAGAGGACTTATTATAAAACATAAATGCTCAAAGATCCTGCAGGTTGTTGATACTGAAGCCCTTTTTTTTTCTTTGAGGCTGCAGTGGATGAGTTTTAGAGAACAGCTGGGATTCAAACCAAGATCAGGAAAACAATTTCTAGGGTTTTTTTGTTCTTATTTAAACAGTGGAAAGGTTTTCCTTCTGACTATGGAGTGAAATTGGATCCAAAGTTTTGTAAATGTAAAAAAAAAATTAAATCCAGAAATAACATTTAAAAAAGGTTTTTTAGAGTAACTTTGCTCTTTTCTCAGACTTTTTTGAATTATTCTATTTTTAAATCCCTTTTTTCTTTTATATTTTTATTTATCTATTTTTTATATAGTTTATTCTTTTAAATTACATTGTTATTCCCTCTTTCAGATTTTATTTTATGAATTGCATCACTTTGAAGTCGCATTTCCAAATCACTGTCTTTCCTCTGGAGAGAGAACTGGTTCTATTGTTCATGGACGTTAACATTTTATTGATCAATGAGCAAAAATAATACAATTTATAAAACTCAATCTGAAAAACAGAAGTAAAAAAATATATAGAAAAAAAAAATCAAATCTAAAAAATAAAAAAATATATATAATTGATTAATAAGTTATTTAAAGTAACTGAATTATTTTTTTGAATTTTCAATTACAAAGCTTGTTCTTTGCTTGAAACAGTGATGGAAATAAATTGATTCCATATCGAACATAGTCTTAGAATCTTAGATCTCATCAAAAAGTCTTTTCTGATTTTATATATATATTTTTTTTAGATTAATAATCTCAGCAGGAATAGATTCTGCTATATTATTAATCTTCTTTGAATAAAATTCTACTAAAAATAATTAATAATCTGCCAGGAAGAAAACTGCACCCCTAAAAACTTGAACATATATCATGATATATGTTTAAAAACAAAAAATAATAATATTGCACTTATTTATTAACTTATTTATTTTGAGTAGAACTTTCTCCACAGCAGATCAGTAATCCAACACAATCTGCTCTAATCCCAAAACCAGATCAAAGAGACTTTCTGCAGTGAAAATGAATAGTTGAAATTCATAATCTGAAGCCTCCAAATTATAAAGAAATCATTCTAATAACAAGTTTATGTAAATGTTTGGCCGAGGCATAGAACACTGATGAGATACAGACTGTTTAGCATTTAAACAGTTTTGTTTGATGGTTTTTAGAATCACTCAGTGAGAAAGATGGAGGGATTGCTGCAGGTCAGTAACTCTGTGCAACCGTCTGGTTTCCCTCACATGGGCAAAAAATGAACTGAACTTGGCTGCATTGTTTAACACTTAGGATCATATTGAAGGTTCAATTATAATTTCTCTGCACAAACAGATTGATTAAACCTCGATATAAATTGGAGGTTTGTTTCTGTTTTACATAAAGTGCCTCGAGACGACGTCTGAACTGAACAACAGCTACGATTAGCCGCTACGATCTGAAGCCAAACAGGAATCGGCCTTTTTCTTCAACCTCAGCTGATTTTACCTGTTGCTCTAATGTTGGATTTATCTGAAAGTGTTTCAGTTTTGGACCTGAAGCTACCCTGATCTGTTTTATTTTTAACCCCTAACATTGAAATGATTCCAGAGTTCAACCTGCAGGTCTTTCACATTGTTCTTTCACATTTTGTCGGTGTTTCTTCTACGCTCATACATTCAACACCTACAATGTGTCTTCGTCAGGAAGACGTCGGACTCTAATCTACGGAAGAGGATTAGGGCCACTAAAAAAAAAAAAAATGAACATGTTTTTAAAATATTATTTCAGTTGAATATGGGAAAAAATTCAGAATTCTAACTTTAATCGCAGAATTCTGACTTTAATCTAAGAATTCTGACTTTAGCTAATTTAGTCTCTAGACCAAGCTATGGCTTGATGCTAACATGTTTGTTAGCTGAGTTTAAACTCAGAATTCTAAGAAAAAAGTCAGAATTCTGAGAATTGTTTTTTTTTTTTTTGTTGCTCTTACTGTTTTTTTAATCTTTGAGTTTGTCCTGTGTTGTGGTGATAATTGTGTTTTATAATCTGCTCAAATGACCTGTACAGCGCTTTGATTTTAGCTTTGGCTGACTGAAAGCGCTTTATAAATAAAGTTGAGTTGAGTTGAGAAAAAATTCAGAATTCTAACTTTAATCGCAGAATTCTGACTTTAGCTAATTTAGTCTCTAGACCAAGCTATAGCTTGATGCTAACATGTTTTTTTAGCTGAGTTTAAACTCAGAATTGTGAGAAAAAAGTCAGAATGTTCACCTTAATCTCAGAATTCTAACTTTAGCAAATTTTGTTTCTAGACCAAGCTATGGCTTGATGCTAACATGTTTGTTAGCTGAGTTTAAACTCAGAATTCTGAAAAAAAAAGTCAGAATTCTGAGAAAAAATTCAAAATTCTAACTTTAATCGCAGAATTCTAGCTTTAATCTCAGAATTCTGACTTTAGCAAATTTAGTCTCTAGTCCAAGCTATGGCTTGATGCTAACATGTTTGTTAGCCGAGTTTTAAGTCAGAATTCTGAGAAAAAATTCAGAATTCTGACTTTAATCTCAGAATTCTGACTTTAGCTAATTTAGTCTCTGGACCAAACAATGGCTTTATGCTAAAATGTTTGTTAGCTGAGTTTAAACTCAGAATTCTGAGAAAAAAATCAGAATTCTGAGTTTGAAGTTAGAATTTTCCCATATTAAACTGAATTAAACTTTAAAATCTGTTAACTTTTTTATTTTTTTTCGAGGCCCTAACCCTCTTGCAAACTAATCTTCATGCTAATAGTGGTTTTGTTTCTCTGCTGCTACTTTCTAGGTTGCGTGTGTTAAAGAAATGTTTACGGTCCAGCCATCGACATATCACTTCCTAACCTCTGCAGCCTCACTGTTTGCTCACTGTTGGAGCAAAGCAACTAAAATCAAACCATTTAAGCACAAAAAAATAAAAAAAAATAAGAAGGCTGTAATGTGATCAAAAAAGCAGCAACTGGATAAAAAAAATAGGTATAAAAATAACTTTTTTTGTATTTCTTCCTTTTTTGTGAGATGTGACTCAGAATCATCCCAGCACGTTTGTGGTGAACTAATGCCGTCTTTGTTTGCTGCATCACTTTAGGGGAACAATGAGAGGGTTACTGTGAGGTTGCAGCAGCAGCGGCAGGTCTGCGGACCTCCTGTTGGTGCCGTCCTGAGCTACGCCGTGCTGCTGCTGGAGCACGGCGTGCTTTGCGTGCTGCCTATGCTGTGGGCCGCGCTGCTGTTCTGCGAGGGCGGCTTGGACTTCTGGACGGGCTGCGAGGTGGCTGCCCCTCCTAGATGCAGAGCAGGAGAGGAAGGGGGATGGAGGGGGGAGGAGAAAATGAAAAGCGTTTCAAAATTAGCCAAAAAATCCGGACAAACTGATCTAGTTAGAGCTACATATTGCTCCAGGTTCATTCTTTGAAAGCTTATATCCTCTATGAGATCACACTCCAAAAATAGAAATATAACTGAGCCCATTTTTTATTGAAATAAGTTATATTCCCTTCATTGAAGACATAAATAAAACATTAGCAAATGGAATTAGATGATTTATGTTTAAAAGGACACAACAAATTATTTGGCTCTTACAAGATTAAAAAAAACAAACATGTATCTATTTTTTTAAGCCATCATTTCTAATTTTAAGTGCTCCCTTTGATTATTTCTAGATTTAAAAATCTTTAATCAAAATCAATTATCTTGCTGCATGAACAGATTATCAATTGCAGTGCTTTGTGTGATAAATGTGGCTTTTAATTAGCAAACAGCAAGTCATGCTTTTATAAATACATATTCTGCAAGTCTACTAATATCCCAACTATGAAAACATTCTCACAGCTTCAAATGAGTGGTTTTATAACTACCCAATGGGAGATGGCGTATTGTGTCGCCATTTTTGATCAGAGTAGCTGAAAACTGGTCAGCTTTACATGTTTTACCTCCATCTGGATACGTGTTGTTTGTGGCAGAGGAGTTTAAAAGAAACGAAAAAATGACCTTGGATCATTCTGCCTTCCACTTTCTGTTGTGATGGAGGAACATCGTACTCTTTTCTTTCAGAGAAAGCTTTCATATGTTTCATTGTTTATTTCAGTTGACGTGATGAAAGAGGCAGAATTAGTAGTTTGTCACTCTTCAGCTTCCTACGGAAGAGGATTAGGGCCACTGAAAAAAAAAATTTGTTAACAGATTTTTATTTTATTTTATTTCAGTATAGTATGGGAAAAAAGTCAGAATTCTGACTTTAATCTCAGATATTCTGACTTTTTTCTCAGAATTCTGACTTTAATCTCAGAATTCTGATTTTTTTCTCAGAATTCTGACTTTAATCTCAGAATTCTGACTTTTTTCTCAGAATTCTGACTTTAATCTCAGAATTCTGACTTTTTTCTCATGTTAAACTGAATAAAATTTAAAAAGCAGTTAACTTTTTTTTTTTTTTTCAGTTGCCCTAATCCTCTTCCGTAGCTTCCGTAGTAAGTCTGTTGTTTGTGAAAACAACAGACTTACTACGGAAAAAAATAAAATAAAAAAAACACCATCATCCTATTTTAAGTGCATAATTTCAACTTATTTAACTTAAAGGACAACAAATTTCAAAATTTCCCCAATTTTTTTGATGGGCTCTTGGCTGGTCCCGTACAATTTCTTTTAAACATCAATCTTTGAACTAAAATATTCTTTCTGTCCTGATTTGTGGACATTAAGATCTAAAGAGAAGCTTTATCTCCTGGTCAGACCCTGTAATTCAGTGGAAGGGTGGAGTCAGAGTAAAAAAATATGCAAGTCCAGGAAGTTGGCTGCCATTCGGCTGGCTTTTGACTGAGAAGGGCTATTTGGACAGCTGCTACTTTACCTGGTGAAAATAAGGCCATATACACTTATTTACATACATTTTTACTTATTTTGAGATTATCTTTTGCATTGCAGCATATTCTTACACGGATCGAATAAAGCATATACATCACAAAGCATTGAATTAGTGCAGGTATTCCAGCAGAAACTTTGGCTCCAAAATGAAAAGCAGAATTTATTTTAGCTGCAAAACATGATACCTGAAAGGGACCAGAGGCTAATAAATCAGATTTTGCAAGAAATGCCTCCTGGTTCCTAAAGTTATCTGGATTTAATTAGCCTTTATTCAGCAGATAAATCAGAAGAAATGGAGTCCAAACATCTGATTTGTTATTCTTTGTCTAAAAAGCATTTCCAATCATAAGGTTTCTCAATCCAAAGCTGAAACGAGTTCCTTTGCCTGTTTACTGAAAAAAAAAAGGGAAAAAAAGTCTTCAGACAAAGAAGAGCTTTTGAAATAAAGCCTCGTCTGTGTTTTATTGGAGTTTTTGGACCCAAGTATCTCTGCAGCCTATTTGTCTTCTTTGTTGGGTAAAAAAAAAGAAGAAACTTCATCAGAAGTGGCTTTGTTTGAGCGAGTGCCTTCATATATGACAGCTGTGTGTATCCTTCTCCCACTCGCAGGCCCCCACGGCTCTGCTAATGATTAGCAGGAAGGGGCGGGCTGCCAAGCAGACTTTCCCCTCGCGGGACCAAAGCTCTGCAAAAACAAAGGGATTCACCTCATCTCTTGGAGGAAACGTGAATTTCCAAGTACATCATTATCTCTAAGCATGGGGGAGATAAAGGCGGGATTTTTTTCTTTTTTATTGCAAAAACCCTCAGAGTAGTGGCTGCAAAAGATGTCTCACTGCAAAAACGATCTTGAAATAAGTAAAAATGTCTTAAATTAAGTGTATTTACGCTTAATTTGAGTAGGTAAATAAGATCACCTGCCAATGGATGAGAATGTTTACTCTTAAAGTAAGATAATTAGATAACATGCACTTGAAATAAGACAATTTCTTATTTTAAATGTAAATTGTTTTGTTCCATTGGCAAAGTGTCTCACTTACCTCACTTCAAGAACAAATGCACTTAATTTAAGAAAAATTTACTTATCTAGATTTTGATTATTTCCTGTGTACTCAGAGTGAATTCACCGAAATCTAGATAAGTCATTTTTTCTTAAAATAAGTGAATTTTTCTTGGATTGAGGAGGTAAAAGAGACATTTTGCCAATGGAACAAGACAAATTACACTTTGCATTGTCTTATTTCAAGTGCATATTATCTAATTATCTTATTTTAAGAGTAAAAATACTCATTCCATTGGCAAACTTTCTTATTTACCTACTCAGATTAAGGGTAAATACACTTAATTCAGGAAACTTTTACTTATCTCTAGATCGTTTTTCTGAGATGCTTCAAGGTTTCAGTTCACATATCCAACTATCTGTTTATGTTCCTTTAAAGGAATAGTACACCCAAAACATGATTAGCCTTCATTTTCTACTCACCCCCATGCTGAACAACACTCTGGAGTACTTTTTTGATATCTCAAATGCATCTGGAGATCTGGGAGGCTTCTTGCTGTCTGCTGACATTCAAATAATGGAGGTCTATGGCGCCCGAGGCAGAAAGGTCCATAAAAGTCCACAAAAACGTGTCAATATTCCTCCATACTGCTCGTCCAATGTATTCCAAGTGTCCTGAGTGGGTAGCGTCCATAATTTACTCGAAACAAAGTCATTTAGAATGTTTTTAGAGCATAAACAGTAGTGTATAGGATTTCCTAAAAACGCGTTCACGAGCCTACGGAAACCGCGGCAGACCAAACCAGATGAAAGTGCGCATTCAGCTCGGCAAAGAACTCATGCTCTTCCTCAACACTGAAGTCCTCAGACATTTTTCTTTCATTGTTTCTTTCTTTGCACAGGTAAACAGCACATTTCTTCTTCTACGCTTGCATTATCGGCAGAGCAGACGCTGAATGCGCACTTTCATCTGGTTTGGTCTGCCGCAGTTTCCGTAGACTCGTGAACGCGCTTTCAGGAAATCCTATACACTACTGTTTATGCTCTAAAAACATTCTAAATGACTTCGTTTCGAGTAAATTATGGACGCTACCCACTCAGGACACTTGGAATACATTGGACGAGCAGTATGGAGGAATATTGACACGTTTTTTGTGGACTTTTATGGACCTTTCTGCCTCGGGCGCCATAGACCTCCATTATTTGAATGTCAGCAGACAGCAAGAAGCCTCCCAGATCTCCAGATGCATTTGAGATATCAAAAAAGTACTCCAGAGTGTTGTTCAGCATGGGGGTGAGTAGAAAATGAAGGCTAATCATGCTTTGGGTGTACTATTCCTTTAAGCTTTAATTATTCTAATCTAACTACATTTTTTATTTCTGCTAAAAAAAGTGATGTTTTTATCTATATTATAGTAAAATAAGCTCGTGGGACTCTGGTGGCAGCGGTCTGGTTTGTATCTCCAGCTGTCATTGGGTGAGAGTATGTTATCACAATACAGCAAGTGGAGAATTATTTATACTCTTTTCAATAATCTGTGGAAAAACCCCCGTAATTTTTTTGACAGCAGTGAAACTCAGCTGTAATTGGCTGCAGGTCTGTGATGATGGAATGCCTCCTTGCCATCACATTATATACTTAGCACAGCAGCTGTCAGAGGCTGGAGAAGAGAGAAGCACAGCAACCCGGCCCTACACCCCCACCCCGATAAAGGCCAGCGTGTCTCAGCTAGCTTAGGCTGAAGGACGCTCAGATAGAAGAAGCAAAAACGGGTCTGACTAGAGAGGAAACACAACAACGCCTCCTTCATGGGCTCCATGCTGATCAGCTGTTTGAAATCTGCTGAAGGGGAAGCTGCACTTCTTCAACCACAACCAGCCCCTGATTGGTTGCTGCAGCAGGATGTCAAAGAAAAGTTCTGATTTTTCACCGCTCCGCTATCGCTGCATAGTTCGCATAGAGATACGATGTAAATCCACCGTGTTTGCAGCGGACACTGCATAGAGTGTAACACCTTTAGATTTATGGCAAAACAAATAGGCAGGAAATAAAAAATTAACTTCATTAATAAAGGGACATATTTATTAGGGTAACTAATGTTACTTTGGGAGGTTTATGTTTGAACAATGTATTCTCATTATCAGTTCGTATGAAATCGTACAAAAAGTCATGCACAGTATTTCGTAGGTTTTTGACGTTTTTTTCGTCGTATTTCGTCGTATTTTTACGTCTTGCCTCGAGACAAGATATCAGTGCGCATGCGCATCTTACCATTCAATAACATACAATTTAACATACAATTAACCCTAACCCTAACGCTAATCCTAACCCTAACATACAGGACAGCAAGCAACCTAGTGAGAGACATCATGAAGTAATTTTTGCACTGTGGAAAGCTCGTCCGTCCCAGTTTTACGTCCGTCCGCTGATCTGCTTTTTTCGTCTGGCTGGCTGCGCATGCGCACTGATATGTTTTTTTGAGGAAAAACATCAAAAACCCACGAAATACTGTGCATAACTTTTCGTACGATTTCATACGAACTGATAATGAGAATATGTTGGTTTGAATGTTTGTGTTCTTTATCGGTTGCTCAGCTCTCTTATACCCCATTTACACTACCCTTGAAAAACTGTGTAGAGACCGGTCCGAGCTCAGTAACTGAGATAACTTATGGTGTGTAAATGGAAAGCAAACTGAACTGAACCGAGCTAGACACCAGCGGACCGAGCTAACTGCAGACCAGTTCCAGAGGTGGGCTCGGCTCGGTTTTTCCCTGGCTCGGTTCTCTGATAACAAGAGTGCATGAGCAGAACGCGTCATCTCCGTCTGGCAGCACATCGCGATTCACACTCCATTCCAGTAGTTGGCGGTAATGCCCCTCCAGAAACAGAAGAAGAAGAACAACTTCTTCTTCAACTATAAACAACAATCGAAATCTTCTCCATGCAACATTTTAAATAATAACACCGAAGTACAGCAATAATAATCAAGCATAACTTTCTGAATGTGATGGGCGCCGCCATTTTGATTTGCTTGATTCCCTCCTTCTTCGTCTTCTTCTTCTTGTGTTTTATGGCGGTTGGCAAACAACTTTTGGTGCATTACCGCCACCAACTGCTTGATTTCCTCCTTCAATACTGGCAGTAATACCGCCGATCGTCACTAGGAGTCGATGAACCGAGATAGCATGATGTGTAAACGGTCGTCAGAACCGAGCTCGGCCTGGTTAACTGATCCGAGCTCGGACCGGTCTCGGCATGGATCGGTTTTTCAAGGGTAGTGTGAATGGGGTATTAGTTTATTAAGGTGATTCCATTCAAAAATAAAACTTTTGCAAATGTACTAAAATTATAATTTTTACTTTTTTTCCCTAGTATCCTAGTATTTTTAAGCCTTTAATTCTCTCATATGTAAACCCAATTACTAAAAAGAATCCTGTGAATTTCACTTGTTCACATGTGATTCCCATCATATTCGTTAGGGTCATTTTTCACATGAGCTCTATAAAAAAAAATTTTCCCAAGTGAATATCATTATATTGTGTTCTGTTTAACACTCTTCCTAATTGTCATAAAAACAACATATCCGTTTGTTGTTCTATTGTGTATTTTTATGCAATTGTATGTTATTCATGTAAATATCTTATGAAGTGCTTTGAGTTTACAATATTAAACATTTTAAAAGTCAAATAAGGACTTTAAAAAGATCATACAGACACCAATTTTAACTTTATTTTAAATTTATCCATTATTCAGGATTGTTCATTTTTATAGGTCTTCATTCACAGCTGCTAGGTTTTAGTCATCTCCTACAAAATAAAAAGATTTTCACATGTGAACAAATGTTAATCCTATAAAACTTCAATATGTGAAACCATGTTACCATTGAAATTCTAAATCACGTGTAAAAGCACATATCTAAGCGTGGATTTAGAGCAACTCATGTTAAAAGAACATGTTATATACAAGTTTGCACATGTGAATCCCATTTGAAGCGCATGTGATTTACATTGAAGGGACATGTAAGATGGATATCACATGTTTTCACATGCGATATGGGAATTACATGTGAAAACGTATATGGGATGCTGCTGGTGAAGATTCTCAGTCATCCAGGTCATAGTCAGTCCAAAAAAGTAAAAAAAAAACAATCCACTGGACTTTGTTGACTGACTTATGTTGTTCAACGACAGTGTCTAATTTCACTTGCGCCGCTTCTCCTGTTAATACGGTAAAGCCCTGGGGAGCGTCCGGCTCCAGGCTGCACGTGATCCAAATGAGCCAATGAGCTGTCAGTCTGGGTTTCTGCTGCTGCTACTTTTAGACACAGCAGGCAAACCTGTGGCAAGCCGGGCGATGGGAAAGAAGGAGAAGACCATGAGAAAAAGAGAGCAGAGAAAGTGTGGACTGCTGGAAGAACTGCGGTGAACTGGTGAAAGAAAAGTGAAATGGCGTGCTCAAAGATGACCCTGCACATTTAGAGGATGTTTGGCTCAACCTGCTGCTGTGAAGCAGGATTCTCCACCATGAACAGAATCAACAATAAATCTGGATCCAGGCTCAAAATGAGCTCCTTGATATGTGCTTGAGAATGGCTTAGTCTCCGGTTAAACCCAGGTTTAAAGCCTTGCAGGGCAGCCTAAAGCCCACTGCCAACATTAAGACAGAAAAAAGAAAAAAGTTCAGGTGTTTTATAAAAAAAAGTGAGTCAGAAAATTGTCATTATACCAAACTGAAGGATTGTTGTTCTCTACTTCAAAAACAATTTAGATGTTAAAATAAAAAAAAATTATATTTTTTTATTTAAAACGTCAATGTATAAAATAGATGCATAAACATCTGCGTTTTATTTTAGTGTTAAATTCTGTTTAAAGTACTAAAGTATAATTAAAAATGTCTCCGGACCTTTACTGGTTGATGATTTTCTTTTTTCGGACCCCGATGATTTTTAATTGGTTACTCTTGCTTTAAAGCCTGGAACTCAACGCTAATCCAGACATTTTTAATTGAAAAAGCTGTTCTGGATGGGAAGCGAAACATCTTCAAACTTGGGAAACTAAGTCATGTAAATTGTTTTTTTTTTAACTTTTTTAACTTTTTGGAAGATATACTGCATGGGAATCACATGTTTCACCAGTGATGCACATGCGAATCACCTGTTTTTATGTGTAAATCACAATTGAAAACATGTTAATTAGATGTGCTTTTCCCAAATGTATGCATAATCATTTGCATGTGAATCTCATGTGGTACCATATATTCACATTTGGCACATGTGATTTTCACATGTGAAATTTGTAGGAGTTTAATATATTTTTTTTTCTGGTTTATTAAACCAACTGTGTAGAGGAGGAGCGCATTTCCCCTCTCAAGAAAACCATCTGGGCGAGGCTCCACATGTTTTAATGGTACGCTCCTTTATCCGCTGCACAGAGACAGGATCGGAGCACAAACATAAACCCTCTTCTTCATATTTGCTTTGACAATCACGACTTTCTGTAAATAAAAACGGGGAGGAAATAGACTTTTAAAGAGGTCTTTAAATGCTGCTGGAAAGAACCCTAAGTGTTTTTCATGCCTCACCACTCTGAGCGGCACTTTTTAAATACACTCAGAGTGTGATATTTTTGGTTGCCGTTTAAGGGGGATCCACGTTCTCGGGGGTTAACTGCAAATGCTGCCATATAAGGTCATTTTCACCCAGCACAGTTAACACAGAGCCTATTTTCATAACATCGACAACCTTGGCCCTGCATATTCTTCTCCTAAAGTCTGTCTTAAAAGCCGTTCTTTCTCTGTGTCTTTATCCTGCATCTGCTATCTCTGGAAAAGCAGTCGGTGCAATCTGATGTGTTCCTTTGTTGGTCACTCATTTGGAAATCCATAAAGCAGAGATGACGTTTTTTTTCTACAGAAAAGCCAAGGAAAATATTTGGAGAGCGATAAGGGCCCCAACATGTTGCAGAGGACGTTAAGTGCAGCAACAGTTCCTGCTTGGTAAGCCCTCAGAAACGTGATAGAGGGAAACTCCTGATAGTTGGTTCTGATTGAAACCTGCTTTGTTCCAGACACTGACTTTTTCAGAACCACATTCCTGCAGGTCAACAGCACAGAGCATCGCCGGTCAAACGTTGGGAGAACAGGAGAGCTCTATGCCTCGGTGAACTCTGTGGGGCTGCCGGGAGCATATTTCCTCTCTGGGGTCGGCTGGGGTCAGCGGGCTGGGGACGACGGAGGGGGGGGAGGTCTTGGCATCTAATAGACAGATTGTGTGTCTTTTCCTGTGAGCACCCACTAAACCCAGAGAGGGGGGATTTCCAACTCGTCTCCAGCCATTGTGCTGCGATTATATGCTGACCACCCCAAAGAAACATTGAAAGGCAGGAAAGAGGAGAGCTCTCTGCGTCGACCAACAGGATATATTTACAGTAAAGGAGTCAATATGTTATTGTGAAGCGGCTTCTATCAGCCACAGGATGTTTGGTAATCACAGCGGCACGCCGCTGGCACTGCTGGAACATTCCTCTGCATCTTATCTTTTTATTAAAGCGCAGAGGTGGGGGAGGGGGGAAGGTGAGGGACCTACCTGTATGTGTGTAGATAAACCACAGGGCCCCGGTCAGCAGGGCCCCAATAAGAAAGGCTGCAAAGGCGATCCCCACCACAGTGGTGGTGTCCAGGAGGAGCAGCACAGCTGAAAGACGAAGCAACAGATTAAGGATTCGATGCCGACGTGAAGACGGGAGGAAACATTAGAAAGACAAAAGATGTAGTTTCCTACTGCTTACGTTCATTCGGAGTCGGTTCAGTAGGTCCTGAGGATGACAGAGTCAGGAGGGACATTTAAAACATGTACTCACATTTGTAAAAATGCATGATTTTAAAATATAAAAATTATTAAAAATGGTTGATTTATTCAGTGCTGACATGAAGGGGTTAAATGCATGATTTCACTTCAAAGTCATAAATCAGGCATGCAAACCCGGTTTAACGACAGCCTATTTTAGCATAGCGGTCCACTACGCTTGATTTAGGCTGTTACGCTGTAGAAATGAGCATAACGGCCCATTGACTGACATCTGGGATCCCTTCACCAGGACTCTGTCCAAAGCTTTTCAGCACACACACTGGTTACCCTGAAAGTTTTCATTTGAATAATTTTTATTAGGGATGCACGATATATCGGCATTAATATTACGCCAATATTGGTAATTATTAAGCATATTGGTTCTGGTCTGATAAGTCGAACTGGACGGATGTTACCCACCAGTGTTGCATAAAGCTTATAGTTAGAGTGGCTCAGGTTATCCTGAGCTATCTCTATAGTTACGCTGCTATAGACTTAGACTGCTGGAGGACATAGGGACCCCTTTTTCATCATTCTGCTTCATTCTATCTCTATTCTCCCACTCTGCAGAATCTGTTAGTTCAATCTCTAACCTTCTGCTCTCTCTGCTTTTTCTCATAGTAGCTTCATCTGGTCTGTTCCTGTTTGGCTGTGACTCCATCCTGGAGAGAAATATCAGCTGTGCTGCTGCCATCAACACCTTTGCTTATGGATGTTGGAGCTTGATGTCTTTTTCAGTGTAGTCCTGTTTCTCTGACTGTGACTAACTGGATGTGCTCTCTTCATCCTCTGACATGGGAGCTGACTTGGAGCTCGTCTGCCTGGCTGTGTGTTTCCTGGACGGGGCCAACTTTTACAGTTGCCTTTTGTATCTATGCTTCTTTTTCTATCTCTGCTTCTGTCTCCTTGAACCCCAGTGGGCCTCAGCAGATGGCCGCTCACACTGAGCCTGGTTCTGCTGGAGGTTTCTTTCTGTTAAAAGGGAGTTTTTCCTCTCCACTGTCGCTACAAGCATGCTGTGAGGGATTGCCTTCAAGTCAATCAGTCGATGCAATCACATGGTTTTCCTTACATAGAAAACTTTGAATCAATTTGACTGGATGTTGACGTGTTGTGAATTGCCGCTATATAAATAAACTGAATTTAATTAAAGTTGTTGTTTTTGTTTAATTTCTACTCTCTTGCTGGAAATAGAAATGCATAATTTCAAAGGGAACGCAAAACGTGCTCCGAATCAGTGCATAAGGACTGCAGTTACTGCTTGGGGCTGATAAGCAACCCACTAAAGAATGTGATCCAGAAACCTGAACCAGGAGAAATGCCCAGAGAGCCACTTCTTCTACAATCTGATGAACCGATTGACTCCAACTGGTTCTGCTCACCCATTTATTTCAAGCCATCTGGAAGCCTTTCAGAAGTTGAAATTAGCTGTAATGATGTCTTAACCAACTAAACAAAGGCGCTTGTGTGCTGCAGAGAGGCAGACCTGGTAGGTGGCCAGCACTCCTGCACAATGGATGCTATTCCTGGAAGGAGTGTTCGGCTCGCATAATGGACGACGACAGGTCATCTGAGAAGACTTTAATATGAGGAGATGATGGGAGACCGTGTCCCCACCTCCCCACCCCATTCCTTGCCCTCATGTTATCTGACCCAGGCCACTTGTTATGCTAAGAATGTGCAGGGAGGCCAGTAACACTTGTGGCCTCAGAGACAGCGAGCAGCGGGATGACATAACAGCAGGAGGCCGTCCTCAAAAACATTGAACCTAAAAGGTTCTAAACTCAGTTCCTGGCAGACATGTTTATGTTGGGAAAAATCTGTCTTCCATTTGTCTTTAGCCGCTTTTATCTTTGGAAATGGAAATGTGATAAAAATGCCACCCAGAAATACAACTTAAAAAAACGTCTTAATTTAAAAAAATACATATCTACATATTTTTTAGTGACTTTGCTATTTTCTCAGATTTTAATATTTCCATATACTTCAAATTTGTCATTTCCTCTAAACTTATTTTAAAGATTTTGTTTAATTTATATTTTTCCAAATTTCTTTCACCAATCACCTTCTCTGCACTTGAAGCACAAAACAAATCCTCGCTCTTGACCATTAAAAATGTATCTTCTCCCCTATGGAAGTAAATCTGTGTCGCTAGGATTTGAATTAAAAATGCCACTGAAATTTAAGTGTTGTATGTTTGCACTTACTGTTTCAGTGTTAACATACGTATATTCGGAACACATTTTTGGCCTAAAAAAAAAAATTCATTTTAATTATTTCTACACAGTAGAAATTTAATTTGTTATTTTCTGTAAAAGCTAAAAATTCACGTGATTACATTTTCAATACTTATTTTTCAGTTTAATTGTTCAGTGTTAAAAAAATCTGCATTTAAAAAAAATTCAACCTTTCAAAATTCAAACTCAATATTTTCAGCCTCCTGTGATTCAACTGGCTCTATTTCACCGTCTTAAATTCGGCGTCTAAATTCAGTGTAAAAAGGGAAGGGTTACTTCAGGTCACAGACATTAGCGATGGATTGTGGCGTCCAACACCCAGCCAATCCCGTTACGTTTTCTTAGTCACGTGACGTGACGCTTGTGGCGCTCATACCGAAGGAAAACCAGCATGACGGAGCCGGTCATGTAAGCTAACGCTAACTCAACGGTGAGTTTATTACTTTCATTTTTCTGTGGTTGAGTTAGCGTTAGCTTACATGACCGGCTCCGTCATGCTGGTTTTCCTTCGGTATGAGCGCCGCTAGCGTCACGTCACGTGACTAAGAAAACCTAACGGGATTGGGTGGGTGTTGGACGCCACAATCCATCGCTAATGTCTGTGACCTGAAGTAACCCTTCCCTTTTTACACTGAATTTAGACGCCGAATGTAAAACCGCAATTTATAAAGGAATACAATTCGTAAAAAATCAATCAGAAAAAGAAAAAATTTGGAAAGAAAAAAAGTTTATCTGAATACAAAATCTCTAAATCATTTGAAATTTCTCTTTAAATAAAAAAAAGAAAATTATTTGAAAACAAAAACCTCTGGGAAACAGCAAAGATACTCTTTAGCAAAGATTTACCTTTTCATACGTTGTTAAAGGTATAGTGGAGGATTTTCGCAAAATGTTTGAAAAGACCCGCCCTCTACAATTAAAAAAAATGCACATGCACAACCATGTACTCGCTCCCAAGAGGGAACACCTATTAAACGAGTGTGAGAGCCTGCAGGAAGCCATTTCTCCTTGTGCACACCCTGTATAAAAGTAGCTGTTTGCATCGCTCATACAAGCTTACTTTCCAAAAGAAGATTTTAAATTTTTCCACTATGTCAGACTCACCACCAGTAAGGGAAAATGGGGATGAGCACGTAGGACGGCCTTAAGTTAGGATGATTACCAGGACCAATTATTTAGATAATCCACCCAGAAAAAGAACATCCTCCACTTATACCTTTTAATTTTAATTTCAATTCAGTTAATTTCTATAGCGCCAAATTCACATCATGTCATCTCAAGGCACTTTACAGTTCAACCAGATCATACAATCAAATTGATACAAAGTTTTCTATCTATGGAAAACCAGTTGATTGCATCGACTCATTGACTCAATACAATCCCTCACACTAAGCATGCTTGTAGCGACAGTGGAGAGGAAAAACTCCCTTTAAAGAGGAAGAAACCCCTAGCAGAACCAGGCTCAGTGTGAGCGGCCATCAGCCGAGGCCGACTGGGGTTCAAGGAGACAGAAGCAGACATAGAAAAAGAAGCATAGATACAAAAAGCGGCTGTAAAACGCGGCCCCTTTAAGAAAATATTTGTAAGATTTTTTTCTGATTTCCATTTACAAACATGTTTTTTTTAACAAGTTCAAATGTCCCTTTACTGTACGTGTTATATGCTTACAACAATAACGGAACAAAATTCCACATTAGGCTTTCTAAACCTAGAAGTTGCAAGTATAGTGCCCCCTGTGGCCATAAGTTAAATTATATAAAAAATTTTAAGTTTGCAGAAGACTGTTCAATTAATCTCTAAAGAATGTTTTTTTGTGTGAGTTTTTACAGCCATAGAGGCTCGTTTTTCTGATAGCAGGCTGACAGGAAGGGGGGGTATGAGACATACGGCAAAGGGACCACAGGCCGGATTCGAACCCGGGTCAGCCGCGTCGAGGTCTAAGGCTTCCCTACATGGGTCGTGCACACTACCGCCTAAGGTTTAAGTCAAACACAACTGCAAAACTACCAAGACCTCAACTCCTATGTTCACCAACAGGATGGGCAAGAAAAGCTTGAATTCAATAAGCAGCTAAGAGGTACCTTTGGAGGAGCTGCAGAACCCACAGCTTAGCTTTTTGCTGAGACTTTGGTCCCTAAATGTCCAAAGCTAGTATAGATATACCCCTTCAATGCTTGCAGATGTAATTGCAGCAGTTAGCTCTAAAACGTATTGACTCAAGGGGCAGAATGTAAATAAACACCTTACCATTCAAGCTTTGCTTGGTCCACCGACATTAAAACCATCCTTATCTAATGTTTAACATGTGCCACATGTCAAATTGCCCTGATGGAAACCTATCAAGATGAAAACTCTAGATGACTGTTAGGAATCGCCCTGCCGGTCGAGCAGCCGGGCTCGCCTGGTTCGCCGCTCTATCCGAATCAGATATGATGCGGCTGAGAGCGTCAGTCAGCGCTGGAACAGCCAATGAGATCTTAGCGGACGTCGTGTGTTTATGTTAAGAGTCTTCGCCATACAGCGAGCGCCTTCCCACATAATGACTTGTTTTAGTTCAACTTTGAACTCTCCTGAAGCGGAGCAGAAACCACAGAGGTCACACCGCCAAGAGTCCTGACACAGACGGTTCCTGAGTGAACACAGCTGAATTTCACAGGTCACTGCTTCATTCTGAAGAAAAACTATGGAATTCATGAGGCTATTAGCACTGCAATGGACATTAACGTATTTACAAAATTGTCCTCTCCATCCTGACCTGCTGTTCCTATGCTGTGGGATGAGTCTGGATTTTGTTAAAAAATTACTGAATATTTTTATTTGATTTACTGTATTTTTAAAGGTGAGAACAGAGTAACAAAAAACGGTGTGGTTAAAAATATGCCTGTTGGCCAAATGGCTATGCACCTATATTAAAAATGACTAATCTAGATTTCGATTTTTTTACAGTACAGATTCTCTCCTGCTCGCCGGTGGATCAGTTTCATGTCCACTTTAGTCCCTTTGAGGGTGGAACCAAACAGAGAAAGTAAACTTGCTGTGATTGACTGCTTCTCATGAAATCCCACCTCCTTTTCTTATCTAAATCTCCCTTTTTTTTTCAAATAAAACATTTTTAAACTTAACTTTTTACAGATTAGATTTTTTTTTTATCCATTTATCATTTTTCTTTACAAACTGTGTTTGCAGATCACGTTTCCTTCAGTTCAAGCCTGTTACAAAAACATTGACTCATAAAAAAAGGTGTTGCTAACATCCAGCAGAGCAACAGAAACGGGTTTTAGTTCCTCATCGAGACGAAAGATCCAATGAGGGAAAATAAAAGTGATTGAATTTTATTTTCAAAGCCTTTTTTCAATTAAAAAGTTTCATTTCTGGATTGATTGAAATTTCCATGGATTAAAAAATTCTTGAAACAATAATGGAACGACATTCTCTCCATAAGGCTGCATGACAAACAGCTGAAGCTCGGCTTCAACTCTACAAACAAAAAGGCAACATACGGTAAAAAAACAAAAACAAACAGCGCTGCACTGGATCCGTCATAATCAAGTGCTGCATCTAATTGAAGAGCTGTGGTGGAAAGACAAGAATGAGCAGAAACCTCGGGGATACAGTAACACTGGAGAGGGGAGGGGGCCTGAATCCTTCCATGAAGATGTGAGGGACTGATAATGTCAAACAAACCATCATTTCTTCAAGCTAGAGCTCCATTTTCTGTAAGCATGAAACCCTGGGATGTATTCGCTTTAGGGCTCCTGCCTTATTTTTTCCTTCTTTAAAAGAAAGTCACCATGTTTGATGTCATATTTTTGCTGTTTAGGGCAACGAACCTCATTCTACCACGCAGCGATGTTTCACTGAAGCTGTAAATCTACCTTTGACCGGAGATAATTGGAGGTCTTTATGCCCTAAGCTGGATAAAACGACTTCTCTTTGATTGATAACGACTTGGAAAGCTTTTGTTCTCCATTACAGCATCTATTTGGGATCCATCTGGAAGAGAAAAGCTGAATCCATTTGCAGTGTTTATAAGAGGTTGCTGTTTGTTTTCTGTTATCGTCAGAAAGCTGAGCCCTTTATTGGTGGGCAGCGCAGACCGAGCATCTGTAGTCAATATCTAACTGAAGCATCAAACTGATTTCTATAAAAGTATAGGAACCTTTTTTTGCTTCAAAGTATTTCAAACAACTCTGACTCACTGGGGTTTTTAAGCTGCAGATACATTAACGTAGTTCATCAGGAACTTGAAATGCAGCCCCTGAAGCTTTGATATTTTACAGCTAATTTTTCCAATTTTTATGGGGATGTTTAAGCAGTGAGAGAATAATTTATATTAACACCCATGTTGACCACAATAAAAAAAAAAACAACCTGATTTTATGAACAATAACGCTAAACTGGCCGATATCAGCACACATGACGTACGGCTCTGTGCGATGGAAGTGATGTAAGGGCCTTCATATCGGGAGAGAACAAAGATGACTCATTTTCACTGCAGTTCTCATGTAATCTAAGAAGTGATGCTAATTGAAAAATTCGCAGCATCTCGCTGGAGAACGAGGGCCTCATGATATCAGCACATCTGAGTTTAGCTCATAACTACAACAACCTAATTGGAGTTAAGTCACGAACCCACCTCCCGCAAGCCGCTGGCCGCAAGACGCTGCGAGTGGATGGATGAGCGGCTTTACAGGGGCCTCCAGGCTTTGGCCCGCTTCCTAAAGCTCCCCCCCCCCCGCCCTTCTAATGTTCTAATGGAAAAGGGAGGCCACAGAGAAGGGCCTAAGTGAAAACAACTGGAGCTCAGTGCCGTATGACTCCTGTTTTTCCACATTTTGCTAGCCTCGGACCGTTCCAGGACAGCAGAACCGGAGCTCAGCATAAGCAGACTCCTCTGTGCTGAAGTACGACTCTGAGGCAGTATGCATGCACAGCCAGAGAAGCACACTTTGTGTACAGCCATCAGTGTAAACTGAGGCACGTGCACAACCGTCACGTGTGTATATAGAATTACATGCGACCCACACAGCAGAGCTAATGATAAGCAGATGTAAAGGGCGTTCTGGGTTTATCAAATCCTTAAGCTTGGATCTAACCTATGGCTCCTTGCCTTCAGTTTGCCTGATTCAAGCTTTTTTTTTACACCTGATAATCCATGTTACTAACCTTTATAATCAGCCACATACAGCTGCTTCTTCGTGATCTTCTGGAGCTTGATAAATCGAAAGATTGTTTCCAAATCAATGTCATGGCACTTGTCGGGGTCCAGGCACTATACAGACAAAAGCAGTGGATGAAAAACCATTAACATACTTTGAAATTTATAATATTCTTTCTCAATAACAAAAAAAAAAATAGACTGATGGACCTCAAGAAGACGACAAAACGGATTGAAATTACTGCTCAGAAGATTTGTTTTTTTGGAATGTACCACGGATGAAATTTGCAGGGGGGTTAGGGGAGATTGTCACCTCTGGAAATTTTGTTCCAGTCATTTTAACAGATCAATAATATAACATTATCATTAATTTATAGAAGTATCTTTATGAATGCTGTTTATTTTATTCTATTTTTCCCATTTACTGGAAAATTAGTGGCTTATATTGTATTTGGTAATGTAATCACTGCCTTCCTGGTTCAACCCGATCTGTTTACTTTAGTGAGTGGTCAAAATCTCAGAACATGAAAAGATCCCTAAAAAGCAGGAAAAACTACAATTGTTTTTTTTTTTTTTACATACCACTCCAAATCTCATATAAGAAGATGTTTAAAAGTACAAAAATGGCACTATACAATGACGTTTCCTGTTTATCTTAAAAGAAATTAGATTTTCTACTGTTTTTATATAATAACTGCTTGCTTTACTCAACCTGACTATGAGTCAATAAAAGGAAAAAGATAAAAAAAAAGGAACCAAACATAAATATTTGCAAATCACAACAGTATTGGATCTAAAGTTACAGCACTGATATGCACCAAAAAACATATATTTAAAGATTTAGTTTGATCCTCTGATTGGTATCCAGTTATTTTAGAAACTCAGAAGTCTGATCTTCTTGCAGTTTTTCAATGCCTCATATGCTAGTGCTGCCAGGTTGTGTAAACAACACTCTGGAACCTGATACCGAGGAGAGAAGAGTTGTTTCTAGCTCGTTTATTATCAGACCAATGGTCCAAATGCAATCAGTAGAAGGACTTTAATGCACAAATTTATTTAAAATAAGGAAGTTCTTAATACATAAAATCTGGATGTACACTCACCGGCCACTTTATTAGGAACACCTGTCCAACTGCTCGTTTACATTTAATTTCTAAGCAGCCAATCACATGGCGGCAACTCAATGCATTTAGGCATGTAGACATGGTCAAGACAATCTGCTGCAGTTCAAACCGAGCATCAGTATGGGGAAGAAAGGTGATTTGAGTGACTTTGAACGTGGCATGATAGATGGTGCCAGAAGGGCTGGTCTGTGTATTTCAGAAACTGCTGATCTACTGGGATTTAACGCACAACCATCTCTAGGGTTTACAGAGAATGGTCCGAAAAAGAAAAAACATCCAGTGAGCGGCAGTTCTGTGGGCGGAAATGCCTTGTTGATGCCAGAGGTCAGAGGAGAATGGCCAGACTGGTTGGAGCTGATAGAAGGGCAACAGTGACTCAAATAACCACCCGTTACAACCAAGGTGGGCAGAAGAGCATCTCTGAACGCACAGTACGTGGAACTTTGAGGCAGATGGGCTACAGCAGCAGAAGACCACACCGGGTGCCACTCCTTTCAGCTAAGAACAGGAAACTGAGGCTACAATTTGCACAAGCTCATGGAAATTGGACAATAGAAGATTGGAAAAACGTTGCCTGGTCTGATGAGTCTTGATTTCTGCTGCGACATTCGGATGGTAGGGTCAGAATTTGGCGTCTACAACATGAAAGCATGGATCCATCCTGCCTTGTATCAACGGTTCAGGCTGGTGGTGGTGGTGTCATGGTGTGGGGAATATTTTCTTGGCACTCTTTGGGCCCCTTGGTACCAATTGAGCATCGTTGCAACGCCACAGCCTACCTGAGTATTGTTGCTGACCATGTCCATCCCTTTATGACCACAATGTACCCAACTTCTGATGGCTACTTTCAGCAGGATAATGCGCCATGTCATAAAGCTGGAATCATCTCAGACTGGTTTCTTGAACATGACAATGAGTTCACTGTACTCAAATGGCCTCCACAGTCACCAGATCTCAATCCAATAGAGCATCTTTGGGATATGGTGGAACGGGAGATTCGCATCATGGATGTGCAGCCGACAAATCTGCGGCAACTGTGTGATGCCATCATGTCAATATGGACCAAACTCCCTGAGGAATGCTTCCAGCACCTTGTTGAATCTATGCCACCAAGAATTGAGGCAGTTCTAAAGGCAAAAGGGGGTCCAACCCGTTACTAGCATGGGGTACCTAATAAAGTGGCCGTTGAGTGTATCTGTCACTACTCGATCCGTCCTGGAAGCACGATCCGTCCTGCACATCCGCGAACAGATATAAATCTTGGGTATCCATAAATAATGTAATTATGGTACTAAAATTACTTATTTCTATACTTAACTCACTGAAGTTTGCTAATACACATCTTTAAAAAATGTTTTATGACTTTTGTGAGACGACTTTGATGCTTTTTGACATTTTCTTTGTTAAACTGCTTCTCTGACATCATTGTTCATGCTCAGAGTAGTCCGGCCAAATATGATTAAACCATGTTTATCTGCATTTTAGTTGTTTCTTTCTTTAGATTATGCAATATATACCATAATGCTAACGCGAAAGGAAAAGATAAAACTAGGGATGCACGATATTGGGATTTTGGCCGATATCCGATATGCCGATATTTTAAAACTCATGTAGCCGATAATCGATATCGATACCGATGTTAAAGCTGGACAAAAATAAGTAGTCATTGAAAATAGCAGTTTTGTTATCCATTTCTGACACTTTGAAAAATAATATACTGAAATATATTTTCATATGCTGATATCAAATTGATTTTTAAAAACGCGGTATCGATCTATTTTACTTTTTAAAATCTCGTAAAATTTCATCGTTCTGTTACAAACTCTCGTGATATTTTGCAAATTCTTGTGAGATTTTGTTAGTAAAATAGATCGATACCGCGTCAATATATCAACATATAAAAATATGGCAAAATCTCGTGAATTTTCGGGGGATTTCGTAGCATAACGATGACATATAGCAATATTTCATTAGTAAAAGAGATTGATATGGTGTTTTTAAATGGCAATATATCAGCATATGAAGATATTGGGATATTTTAATGGATCAATATTTTTTCCCTCATCTTTACAAGTTTTTAAGTCTGTAAAAAATAAGTTTTTGAGGAAGAAGAAGAAGTAGTATTTTTTTATTTTTTTTTTTAGACTTTAGAAACTCAGAAGCTGATCAAATATCGGGTTAAATATCGGTGGGGTGGCCGATGTCCGATATTCACTTTTAAGGCCGATACCGATAGGTGGCCGATTATATCATGCATCCCTACATAAAACCCAAAAAGAATATATTTATGTTTAAATCTAAAGCCGAAAAATTTAGCTCATAGGATCCCAAATATAATGTGATAAACCAGAAAGGATTTTAATGCATTTATTTTCTTAGGAAACACATTATTACCTTTAACACTTTATATTTTAGGACGCTTACTATTTTTGGGGAGGGAAAAATATCATTTAGATGTTTTTAACAAAATTAAATCAAGATCTATATCTGGATATGCAAATGAGCCGATGGTGCATGCGCAGGACGGATCGCGCTTCCGGAGGGGATGGGGTAGTGACAGTGTCTGTTTTTCCCTGTGATGTAAAGAAGGCTATAAAATCACAGCTAAGTAGCATTTTCTTATCTTTTTAGGCTTATTGGATTTGCAAATTTTAACTGCCTTTTTGCAAACTTGGAAAGATCAGGATCCGTGCATCATCATATAAGAGAGATTTCTGCTCTACTGTAGTGACATCAATTGCTAAAACAGGATGCTAATGAGAGAAAACAGAAAATAATACTAAAATTCTAATTACATAGATTGACAAACAGCAGAAATAACAAAAATAAATTAAATTAAAAAGAGATTAGCAGCTTTTGATTCAGATTTCCAGAACCGAGCTGCCTTCATTAGATCAGAGTTTTACAAAACAAGATTATTCTCATCGGTGCATCTGACAAATCTAGCTTTTATTTGTCTTTACGGCAAATATCACACTGTGAAATAGTCAGCAGTAATTTGAACTATAGAGAGACCCGATCAACAAGTATACCTGCGGTAGCTCCTGGTTCCCCGGAGACCCCTCTGAGCACGGAGACACCTCACAGTACAGGAAAGCATTTGGCGATTTCAACTTTGACTTGAAGGTGAAGCTAAAGGTTTTCTTCATATTATTAGAAGGAAAACTGAAATCCCTGAAGGAGGTTTGTTGAGCATTTGGAGTCCATTTAAATGTGCTATCCGTGGGGCACATTGTGTCAATAAGCCGGTAGTCAGGGTACCCCGTGGATCTGTCGATGGTAATGAAGCATGAGATGAGGGTTAGTCCGATGTCCTGCTCCGGTGCTGTAGATGTGATCTGGAGCACAATAGAAAGACAGAAAGACGTGAGCTTTTTACGGTCATATAATCAGAAATCATACTTTGTTTTTTCTGTCATTAGGGAACACATTGGGACATAATGTCAGTTATATGTATGCATGATGTGTAATATCATAAAACGTATAATATAATCGGTATTTAACCTTAATTTGTGTAGGTTAATGACATAGTTAAATGAGTATTTTTTTACTCTTTAAATAAGATAATGAGATAATATGCAATTGAAATAAGTAGGGATGCACGATATAATCGGCCCCCTATCGGTATCGGCCTTAAAACTAAATATCGGACATCGGCCACCCCACCGATATTTAATCCGATATTTGATCAGCTTCTGAGTTTCTAAAGTCTAAAAAAAAAAAAAAAACCTACTTCTTCTTCTTCCTCAAAAACTTCTTTTTTACAGACTTAAAACTTGTAAAGACGAGGGAAAAAATATTGATACATTAAAATATCACAATATCTTCATATGCTGATATATTGCCATTTAAAAACACCATATCAATCTCTTTTACTAATGAAATATTGCTATATGTCGTCGTTATGCTACGAAATCCCCCGAAAATTCACAAAATTTTGCCATATTTTTATATGTTGATATATTGACGCGGTATCGATCTATTTTACTAACAAAATCTCACAAGAATTTGCAAAATATCACGAGAGTTTGTAACAGAACGATGAAATTTCACGAGATTTTGAAAGTAAAATAGATCGATACCGCGTTTTTAAAAATCAATTTGATATCAGCATATGAAAATATATTTGAGTATATTATTTTTCAAAGTGTCAGAAATGGATAACAAAACTGCGATTTTCAATGACTACTTATTTTTGTCCAGCTTTAACATCAGTATCGATATCGGTTATCGGCTACATGAGTTTTAAAATATCGGCATATCGGATATCGGCCAAAATCCCAATATTGTGGATCCCTAGAAATAAGACAATGCAATTGTGTTTTCATATTTTAAGTTTAAATTGTCTTGTTCCGTTAGCAAGCTGTCTCTTTTATCTCCTCAATCCAAGAAGAAATGCACTTATTTCAATTTTATTTAATTATTTTTTTCCAGTGTAGAAGAATTTTATTGACACAATTACTTTAGTCTTTGGCACTCAGACCTCGGGAGGAAACATTAGCACTGAATTTTACTCTGGTATGCATGAACAGGAGTACAGAACAGGGATGCTCCCCCCCCCAGACCTTAAAGGAATAGTACACCCAAAACACGATTAGCCTTCATTTTCTACTCACCCCCATGCTGAACAACACTCTGGAGTACTTTTTTGATATCTCAAATGCATCTGGAGATCTGGGAGGCTTCTTGCTGTCTGCTGACATTCAAATAATGGAGGTCTATGGCGCCCTAGGCAGAAAGGTCCATAAAAGTCCACAAAAAACGTGTCAATATTCCTTCATACTGCTCGTCCAATGTATTCCAAGTGTCCTGAGTGGGTAGCGTCCATAATTTACTCGAAACGAAGTCATTTAGAATGTTTTTTGAGCATAAACAGTAGTGTATAGGATTTCCTAAAAGCGCGTTCACGAGTCTACGGAAACCGCGGCAGACCAAACCAGACAAAAGTGCACATTCAGCTCGGCAAAGAACTCATGCTCTTCCTCAACACTGAAGTCCTCAGACATTTTTCTTTCGTTGTTTCTTTCTTTGCACAGGTAAACAGCAAATTTCTTCTTCTACGCTTGTATTATCGGCAGAGCAGACGCTGAATGCGCACTTTCATCTGGTTTGGTCTGCCGCGGTTTCCGTAGCGTCATGAACGCGCAGGTGCGCGCTTTCAGGAAATCCTATACACTACTGTTTACAGGTGCTGGTCATAAAATTAGAATATCATGAAAAAGTAGATTGATTTCAGTAATTCCATTTAAAAAGTGAAACTTGTATATTATATTCATACATTACATACAAACTCATATATTTCAGATGTTTATTTTGTTTAATTTTGATGATTACAAATGACAACAAATGAAAATCTCAAATTCATCATATCAGAAAATTAGAATATTGTGAAAAGGTTCAAAATTGATGGCCCCTGGTGCCACACTCTAATCAGCTAATTAACTCAAACCACCTGCAAAAGCCTTTAAATGGTCTTTCAGTCTAGTTCTATAGGCTACACAATCATGGGGAAGACTGCTGACTTGACAGTTGTCCAAAAGACGACCATCGACACCTTGCACAAGGAGGGCAAGACACAAAAGGTCATCGCTAAAGAGGCTGGCTGTTCACAGAGCTCAGTGTCCAAGCACATTAATAGAGAGGCGAAGGGAAGGAAAAGATGTGGTCGAAAAAAGTGTACAAGCAAGAGAGATAACCGCACCCTGGAGAGGATTGTGAAACAAAACCCATTCAAAAATGTGGGGGAGATTCACAAAGAGTGGACTGCAGCTGGAGTGAGTGGTTCAAGAACCACCACACACAGACGTATGAAAGACATGGGTTTCTGCTGTCGCATTCCTTGTGTCAAGCCACTCTTGAACCACAGACAGCGTCAGAAGCGTCTAAAGAGAAACAGGACTGGACTGCTGGTGAGTGGTCCAAAGTCATGTTCTCTGATGAAAGTAAATTTTGCATTTCCTTTGGAAATCAAGGTCCCAGAGTCTGGAGGAAAAGAAGAGAGGCACTTCATCCACGTTGCTTGAAGTCCAGTGTAAAGTTTCCACAGTCAGTGATGGTTTGGGGTGCCATGTCATCTGCTGGTGTTGGTCCATTGTGTTTTCTGAGGTCCAGGGTCAACGCAGCCACATACCAGGAAGTTTTAGAGCACTTCATGCTTCCTGCAGCTGACCAACTTTTTGGAGATGCAGATTTCATTTTCCAACAGGACTTGGCACCTGCACACAGTGCCAAAGCTACCAGTACCTGGTTGAAGGACCATGGTATCCCTGTTCTTAATTGGCCAGCAAACTCTCCTGACCTTAACCCCATAGAAAATCTATGGGGTATTGTGAAGAAGAAGATGCAATACACCAGACCCAACAATTCAGAAGAGCTAAAAGCCACTATTAGAGCAACCTGGGCTATCATAACACCTGAGCAGTGCCACAGACTGATCGACTCCATGCCACGCCGCATTGCTGCAGTAATACAGGCCAAAGGAGGCCCAACTCAATACTGAGTGCTGTACATGCTCATACTTTTCATGTTCATACTTTTCAGTTGGCCAACATTTCTATAAATCCTTTGTTTTTATTGGTCTTCAGTAATATTCTAATTTTCTGATATGATGAATTTGAGATTTTCATTTGTTGTCATTTGTAATCATCAAAATTAAACAAAATAAACATCTGAAATATATGAGTTTGTATGTAATGTATGAATATAATATACAAGTTTCACTTTTTAAATGGAATTACTGAAATCAATCTACTTTTTCATGATATTCTAATTTTATGACCAGCACCTGTATGCTCTAAAAACATTCTAAATGACTTCGTTTCGAGTAAATTCTGGATGCTACCCACTCAGGACACTTGGAATACATTGGACGAGCAGTATGGAGGAATATTGACACATTTTTTGTGGACTTTTATGGACCTTTCTGCCTCGGGCGCCATAGACCTCCATTATTTGAATGTCAGCAGACAGCAAGAAGCCTCCCAGATCTCCAGATGCATTTGAGATATCAAAAAAGTACTCCAGAGTGTTGTTCAGCATGGGGGTGAGTAGAAAATGAAGGCTAATCATATTTTGGGTGTACTATTCCTTTAAACTGGTGGTGGGGTGGAGATAGATAAGTTGGTCAGTCCATGACTGCTGTATGGAGAGACCTGGTACACTTTGCAAGCGGATACTAGTGCTTCACTAGGGGACCTGAAGATGGAAGCCCAGCTTGGATAACACAGGTTGCATGAACCTGTCCATGATGAGCAAGCATGAAGCGACAGTGGAATCGTGGTTCGAAGCTGATTGGCCTGTGATGGAGGCGGGTAAGGGTAAGTATTGAGTTCCTTCAATTGAACTTCCGCTATAGGCTCCATTTTACATTAACTGCTGCCAATTTTTTCCTGCTTTGCATTGCCTTAACCATAAACTTGAAAGTTTTTGAGCAAAAATTGGGCAAAACTGCAGAATTTAGTCAGCTGAGGTTATGAAAAACGCCAAGTCAATACTTATTCGTCTGATTTCTATAGCGATAATGGTTGCTTCTTTAATCCAGTTAGTTGCCTTAAAGCTGTAGTCTGTAACTTTTATTTGTTAAAATAGTTTAAAACATGTTTAGAGTAAAGAAGAATTTGGTGATACAATATCTATGATGTGATTTATTCTCATATATTAACAAAGATTCAGATAACATTCAGCCATTTTTATAATAATATAAATCTGGAACAGAGAAGCTGAGTAATAGGCACTTGGGCGTCGCACTGCCACCTTGTGGCTGGAGTTTTAAGAGTTTTATAATAGTGAGTTAATGGTTTAATGCTAATCAATATCTGTTATATTTATGGTTCATTTTAAATCAGTACCTATATCATCATTACATATAGCAATATCTAAAACATTTTTTTTTTCTGACAGCCTACAAGAGCTTTACTACGGAAGAGGATTAGGGCCACTGAAAAAAAAAAAATGAACTGATTTTTACATTTTATTTCAGTTTAACATGGGAAAAAAGTCAGAATTCTGACTTTATCTCAGAATTCTGACTTTAATCTCAAAATTCTGACTGAGATTAAAATCAGAATTCTGACTTTAATCTCAGAATTCTGACTTTTTTCTCAGAATTCTGACTTTTTTCTCAGAATTCTGATTTTAATCTCAGTCAGAATTTTGAGATTAAAGTCAGAATTCTGATTTTAATCTCAGAATTCTGACTTTAATCTCATTAAAGTCAGAATTCAGATTTTAATCTCAGAATTCTGAGAAAAAAGTCAGAATTCAGACTTTTTTTCCCATGTTAAACTGAAATAAAATTTAAAAATCAGTAAACTTTTTCTTTTTTTGCGTGGCCCTAATCCTCTTCCGTACTATACCCAGTGCTCTAAATGGGAAAACAAGTTTCAGTACTCCTCTTAATGCCATATGCGACATTAAACACACTGTGTGATTACTGAAGCTTCAGTCTGTACAGTCAGGACTTTGCCTCAGCGTGAAACAGAGACAGACAACTCTTTGTTCTGGCTGTCAGTGAAGCCTCTCCTGCTGACAACATCATAAATCATCGTTTCCAAAGGACCTTTAGTCCATGAGCTTTTGCCATCTTTTAAATAAGGAGCAAAATTACGGTTCCTAATCCAATATATTGAACCAGACAGGCGGGATAACAAAACCTGCAGTGCCGAGCTAAGGAAAGCTATGAGTTAAAGTAAGTTGACCTCAAACAGAGAAAACATTCTCAGATGTTGATCCAACCAAAAGAGATCAAAGAGTGTGACAGAGAGGGCTCACAGCAAGTATCTCTCCAAAATATCTATAGATACTCAACAACATGATCTTTAAAATGAAACGAAATGTGTTATTACCTGCACAAACACTTGATCATTGTTCTTAACCGGGAAGATGGCCTGGGAAGGACTGTCGAAAGACGGAGACAAGGACAGCTCCATCATAAAATTGACCTCGCTGACCGGAGGTCTGGGTGGAAATGGAACAACCTCGGGTTTTTTCTGGGCGTATGAGCAATTAAACTGGAAAAAAAGAACAAAATACACAGAATAACAATCAGCAGAAATCTTAGGATAAACGCCACCATTATGACTCTGGATTACAACTTGACGCAACAAAATTCCTACGCACGTCTATTTAACTCTTCCACATTGTGTCCTTTAACTTTCATAAACTGCAACACATATTATTAGGACTAATTGTAATTGATCAACACAAAGAGGTGCATAAGTGTGAAGTGAAATGAAAAGGATTCATAATTATCAATTATATTCTCACCAATGATAACAGAGAAGCTTCACTATTCACTAATTTGTTGTGCAACTGACAGCCTTCCAGACTCATCTCATTACTGAAAGGAGGTCATCTGTGTGTAATTTGGTTTTCGTAAGAATATTTAAATTTTCTGTGGCGTTAGTTGTTTGTTAGAGATAAAAAAAAGAAGCACAGGGGACAGATCAGGGTTAAAGCTCGAAGCTTTGGACATCACAGATATCCTCTCTATCCATCAGCCGAGAATGGAAGGAGTGCTACACAAAGACACGTCTATAAAGCCTGAGGATGTGACTTATCATCAACACTGAAAGGATGGGCACATATCTTTTGCTCAGGTGAGAAAAATCAGCAGACACAATCAATCAGAAGCTGTGCACCAAACAAATCGGGCCTTTATGGAGGAATGGAGAGAAAAAAAAGAGTTATGGTTGAAATAGAACCACTAAATTGCTAAAGTGAACAGTTCTGCCGGATACAGAAACCTGAACATCCCAGCTACTGTTAAGGAGCGTTCTTCCTCAGCAGAGGATGTGAAACTCGTTATGCTACGTTCAGACCTTTTGAACATCAAGGTTCAATTCAATTCAATTCAGTTTATTTATATAGCGTCAAATTCACAACACATGTCATCTCAAAGCACTTTGGTTGTCTGGTTTACGTACAATGTCGATATTGGACGCGTCTTACGATGCATATTGCAGCTTTCTGCACATTTTGTGCCTAACGCACGTTAAACTCCCTCATTTCTACCAACATGTGGACTTTGCAACTCGAGGTGAAAACACTTTAGACCTTAATAAAGTGAATGTGACATTTTTTCAGTTTTACATGAGTAAATTTAGTGAAGTCATACACCACAACTAACCTGACTCCGCCAGATGGATTTGCTCCGCATATCCATCTGGAAACCTTCCGTTGAAGTAATTTTGGGAAGGGGCGAAAATACTGGTTAGCTGATTGGCCTATGTTGGTGATAGACGGGCCAAATAAACCAATCAGATCAATAACAGACCGACGACAAAAACATAACCACAAGCCAGGCTACTCTTGCCGAAACCAGTCGGGAGAAGAGCAAAAACATCTTTTCCTCTGAGAAAAGCCTCCAGAGCAGTGTTTTGCTCTTCTTTCAGTGAAGAAATACTCTGTAATTCCGATAAAACTTGCTCGATAGCTAGTTTCATCGGCTTTAGCCGCCATGTTCTTTAGACTGAACTGTCGCGCTTCTCGTTGCGTCACACCTCAACCCGCCTCAAAGCCAACGCTGATTGGACGTTCGTTTGGTGAACGGCTTTAAATTTTCTTTAACGGAGAGTCTCCAGACTGATCTGCGAGTGAAACTCGCGAGATCAGGATGGTCTCACGAGGCTACACCAAAACACTACTGGTTGTAAATACAGCAAATGTTGGAAATTCAAAGTTTAGAGTTAAGAAAGAAAAGCACAACTGGGGGTCTTACAAATATAAAGAAACAGAAGCTGTGAAAAAAAGGTCCAGATTTATTCTTCTAATGCAAAGATAACCAAATAAAAATCAGCGGGGTTCGAATAAAGAAAATCATCAACCAGTAAAGGTTCCCACTGATTTTTAATTGGTTACCCCTGGTATAGACCTTCGAACTCAACGCTATTTCAGACATTTTGAATTGAAAAAGCTTCCCGGATGAGAAGCGAAACGTCTTCAAACTTGAAAAAAAAGTCCAGTGGATTGTTTTAAACTTTTTTGGAATGAAAATGACCTGAATGGCGGAGAATTTTCCCAAAAATGCGCTTCAAACTTACATTAACCTCAGTTTTCAGCGGATCTTGCTCCATATGTGACCTTGAAACACCCTCTTGTTGTTGTGAGGTCTGATTTTCATTACCCTGCGCCTGCACATCCACCTGCAGTCCAGAGAGAAAAGGGTTGGTTAGAAAACCTAGATCACGTTTGCAGATCCGTTGTGTAAAATTGCCTGATTCTGGCAGGGATTTGAAGCTCTGAGCGCCTTCGACGAGTTATTAAACTGTGGGAATACCCTGCAGCCTTTGGGAAAAAAAATATTCACAATATCCCAGAGACAGAGTTCACTGATAGAGCCTGCTGCTTTAAGAGAATGTGATTTAATGATGAGAGGAGAGAGATGGTGACACAAATGAGGCTTCTTCTGACATCTGTGCTAAATGTTAGCTGACCCGGCAATGGAGCCTTCATGAAATTAAGTCAACACACAACAGAAAATATAATTACTATCACTGATTATCTCAGATATGTGAGGACCAAGGCAATAAAAAGCAAAATGTCTTTTGAGCACAAGTCATGATGGCCCCTGCGTTCATGCACTGACACAAAAGATGACCTTGGACGAACGCCCAGGTTTTCAATCTGCAACAGACAGAAGAAAGTGTTGTTCCAGAATGTTCTCCTCACAAAAGGTTTGAGAAGGCCTGAGAGGAAGTGATTCATCCCGACTTGTTAGAACAAATGTGCTGAATGAATGCATTCCCTTATAATGATGATAACTAGGAATGTCAAGTGTGAACATAGAGAAAAATATGGAGTAAAAAAAAAAGCAAGATTTCAACATTGTATGCAACTATATAGCAACCTACGGTCATTCTGTTTAGCTATTTGAAATTAGAGGCCTTATTTTTTGGCAACTAAGGATCAGCCTTTCAACAAGAAGTACAGATGAACGTTTTGTGAGGTCTCATAAAGTTTTAATCACAGAGGAACTACTGGATAATCCAAGATCTCTGGATACAGTCAGGCTCTTTATATGTTCTGTTCTCAGGATGTTTCATTTAAATCAATTCAATTCAATTTATATAGTGCCAATTCACACCACCTCATGTCAAGGAAATTTAACCAAATCATACAGGCAAACGGATACAAAGTTTTCTTCAGGAAGAGTTTTTGTTTATCTGTGTGTGGAGTAAATGTCTGGAATGGATTGAATGACGAGTTTAAAAAAATTATAAACGCAAACCAATTTAAAAAACTGATTAAAACCGAGCTCCTTTCAAAATACACTATATAAGATGACTGTTTAATAGTCTATAATGTAATTGATGACATAAATAGTACTTAAAATAATTGTACATGCCTAAACTTCATGCACTGAAAAAAAATGAAATCTAGATAAGTAATTTTTTCTTAAAATAAGTGCATTATTTCTTGAATTGAGGAGGTAAAAGAGACATTTTGCCAATGGAACAAGACAATTTACATTTAAAATAAGAAAACACAATGATAATTTTCTTATTTCAAATGCATTTTATTTAAATATCTTATTTCAATGGTAAAAATACTTCCATTGGCAAACTATCTCATTTACCTACTCAAATTAAGGGTAAATACGCTTAATTTAAGACCTTTTTACTTATTTTTAGATCGTTTTTCCAGTGTGTGGAATGGAAACAAGTGTTTTTTTTTGGTTTTTTGATGTTTTGACAGTTAATTGATGATAAATTGAAAAGTAGGAAAGGGGCAGGACATTATAAGATGTATCTTCTACCTGCTCCTTTTCGAACAGAAAATACAAAATTTGCATGTCACATGGGCAAAATAATTTGTTTAATATTTTCATTCTTAAGTTTGTTTCATTCAAATTTTTTTTCTTTCTTGATTGTTTTTACTGTCTGTTCGAAATAAATAAATCTAAAGCCGGGCGTACAATGTACGATTTTTTTTGCCCTTTTCAGGACGATTCTCCAGTCGTGCGAGAATTTTTTTCAATCAGGCCGAGTTTCAGCCTGATCGTGCGTTGTGTACACTGGAAAAACGATCTTGAAATAAGTAAAAATGTCTTAAATTAAGTGTATTTACCCTTAATTTGAGTAGGTAAATAAGATCACCTGCCAATGGAATGAGAATGTTTACTCTTAAAATAAGATAATTAGATGATATGCACTTGAAGTAAGACAATGCAATTGTTTTTTCTTATTTTAAATGTAAATTGTTTTGTTCCATTGGCAAAGTGTCTCACTTACCTCCTCAATTCAAGAACAAATGCACTTAATTTAAGAAAAATTGACTTATCTAGATTTGGATTTTTTTCTGTGTGGTGCACAGGGGGGTAACGACACTGTTTAGCCTCTCGTCCCGACCAGGACTCGTAAGGACGGGAGAAAATAAAACGTTTTTAATTCAGTCAGCCGTCATCAGATGTTCGTGGACAAACTCTGCTGTTGTAGCAGAGCTACGAGCAGATTTACCAGAACCTCGAGCAGTGCGTATGTGCAAACAAGGGAGTTCTTCTTCTTCTTCCAGATTGACGAGTCCGACCAGCGCCATCTCTGCGCTCAGTCTGACGTGTGGTTTTTACACTGCAAAAACGATCTAGAAATAAGTACAAATTTCTTAAATTAAGTGTATTTACCCTTAATTTGAGTAGGTAAATATGATGATTTGCCAATAAAATTAGTATCATTACTCTTAAAATAAGATAATTAGATAATATGAACTTGAAATAAGACAATGCAATTGTTTTTTCTTATTTTAAACGTAAATTGTCTTGTTCCATTGGCAAAGTGTCACACTTTCCTCCTCATTTGGAGAAAAAATTACTTACTTTAAGAAAAAATGACTTAGATTTCTATTTTTTTGCAGTGTAGACGTACAGTGTGAGCAGGTAGATCACATCAGAGCGTCGGGTCACATGGTGTGCGAACATACTGTAGCTCGATTTAAAACATCGCACCGTGTATGCCCGGCTTTAACAAAACTCTGCATCTCTGCTATACATGTCAAATATATATGCCTGTTTGTTTTATTGAAGTTAACCCCTATTTTTTGATTTGTTGTCCTTTGCTGTTTGCTGAAGGAAAACCAGCTGATTGCATCGACTCATTGACTCTTCAGCAATCCCTCACACTAAGCATGCTTGTGGCGACAGTGGAGAGGAAAACTCCCTTTGAACAGGAAGAAACCTCCAGCAGAACCAGGCTCAGTGTGAGCGGCCATCTGCTGAGGCCGACTGGGGTTCAAGGAGACAGAAGCAGACATAGAAAAAGAAGCATAGATACAAAAGGCAACTGTCAACCAGCTCCACAGGCGGCTCTAACAGCAGTGTGTTGCAGTGAGCTTGACACAGACATTTTTAAATTATGCTCAATATTGAAGCGTGGTCTGCGCTACACACTGAGGGTCTAGATACGGCCGAGGCGGCGAGGAAGTGGGGGAGAGTTTAGTCCGACGACGGAGGGACATGGGGGCCAAAAAGGGTGGAGATCCAGGTGGAAAAAGGGTCGCAGCGTTCTCGCGCACCTCGCTCTTCTAGCGGGTCAAACTTCACGAGTTGTTTTCTGGAAATTCGGTCCTAAAAACAAAACAAGCCGGCCTCCTGTCTGCGGCGCTGTCTGCGGTCAGCTACAATTTCGGAGAGGTGCAGCATAGCGTCTGTGGAGGGGGCGGGACATCTGGAGCCGAGGCATTGCATTGCACTCATTGCACTGATTCTGGGCAGTATTTTCTGATGCAACTTTTCTACTTCTGTTATTTGCTATTTTTTCTTAAAAAAATGCATAACGATATTATACCTTTCATGGATTTATTTCAAACTTGAAACTTTGTTTAGCCTGTAAGGTGTAAAAAAAAAAATAATAATAAAAAAAAAATTAATCGATTAATCGAATCGTATCGTGGTGTATTCTTGAGTATGGAAAATAATCGAATCGTTGGGTCAGGAAATCGATACTGAATCGAATCGCCATGATGGATGTGATTTACACCTCTTATATTTACCTTAAATGTAAACTCTTAAATGAAAGAGGAATCTTCCCTGAGTTACTGCGGCTGAAGTTTGGATGAGCTTGGATGATAAATATGGAAGCTTTTGTCTTTTTAAAGCAACTTTTTTTGTCCCATAAAATTGTTACTTTACCGTAATATTATGACCTTATTTACAAAATATGTATTTATATTGTAAAACTTTTATTAAATGTTTAACCAGAAATGAGAGAAAATACTTATAATCGATTAGACTAAATGACATATACTCACATGATTAATAAAAAGCTTATTTTGCCATAATGGAAACTCAATTGTTCCACATCCATCCAGAGACGTTTCCAGTGTGTAGTGGGTTGCGTTGACTTTAGCTTTGCATGCAGGGTCTTTCAGCGTGAGGGTGGCGTTAAAAAATCCGTTCTCCTGGGAAAACATGAAAACACACAAAAAGAAAACGGTGGATAAAAAAATCAAGCAAGGAATTTTTTCATGGAGTCATTTTTGTTTAGAGAATTGTAAAAGTAAAAAGCTACATAATAAAAGCTAAAGCGGTCGTGCGTAATGGAGTTCTCAGGAATAAACAAATCCCACAAGGTTGTCTGGCAGGAGCTATTAATTAAAGAGCATGCCAGTTTCCATTCTGTGATGTGGACTGACTGACTGGGTGATGTTTCAATGCCAAATGTTTGCCTGCCTCAGCATAAGCCATGTGAAAACGGTTCGCTTCGCCGCACTTTAATACGGAAAGGTCAGTATGCACTGCAAAAACCATCTAGAAATAAGTAAAAAATATCTTAAATTAAGGGTATTTACCCTTAATTTAAGCAGATAAATAAGATGATTTGCCAATGGAATGAGTATTTTTACTCTTAAAATTAGATAATTAGTTAATATGCACTTGAAATAAGACAAAGCAATTTTTTTTTCTTATTTTAAATGTAAATTGTCCAGTTCCATTGGCAAAGTATTCCACTTAACTCCTCATTTTAAGAAAAAATTTGCTTAATTCAAGCAAAAATTACTCATTTAGATTTCCATTTTTTTGCAGTGTGGCCTAAACTCTCTCACTGTTGGTGATTGGAGGCTTAAAAAAAAGCAGATTTGATGATTTTAATGATCGTCACTCGCTGTCGGTTGTTTCAGTGTCGCCCTTTTTGGAAACATGGATTCTCATCGGCGCTTTGTCAGAAATTACTGTGGAGAAAACATTCATTAAGGTTCCTAATTAGTTTGGACTTTATTCTCTAATGGGTGTCTGACACTTCAGCTATTTCCGGCACCTTTTTTTTTTTTTTCAAGTTTGTCATTTCATGTTAGTGTTTCGTGAGAGAAAAAAGATTTTTGTTATGATATTTGCATAATGGTTTATATTTTAAAATTATTCTTCTGGAGTTTCTTCTCTGCACCTTCCTAAGAATGGAAAAAAGAAGAAGTCCTTTTATCTTTTAAACATGGTTTAAAGTTATCGGGTGAATTATTATTGAGTGAATGTGTTTTTCTTAAATAAAGAAGAGAAAAAAATTTATTTTGTAAATGAAAACTGGAGAAAACAATGAAGTGAATTTAGATAAAAAAGATTTTTTTTTCTCCGTTCACCCTCAACCGATCGTGTTCTGGTTTAAACCCTGTTCCGCCCTCCACCGAATCAGACTAACACTGGAATACAGCACAAAGATTGGAGTCAAAGATTCTACAACTTCTCTGGAAACGTGAGTCAAAAACCAGATCCTCTTCTCCAAATCCATGAATGAAATTTCCCACTGAGCCTGAACTAATCGCTGTGTCTTCCTCTCACCTTCCAGCTCCAGCTGAGAAGAGTTCAGGGCAACACTGATCTTTGCATTATCTCTTCAATAAAACCTGTTTAACCTTTTCCCCTGGTCTCTCTGTAGTGGTTTCTCTGCATTTGGGTCTCATCTTTAGTTAATCATGACACAAAACCTCGAGATCACACAGGAGTTCATAGCAAATTTAACCCTATAATGCCAAATGTATCATATTTGATACATACAGTTTCTGAAATGTTTTGCGTCTGACACCTTTTGCATAATTTAATGGTAAAAACTTTGTTCTAAATCCTATTGTACACAATCAGATATACCTGATAACAGCCAGTAGAAGACTACACAAAAAATAATCTTGATTTATCGCATAGTAATAAATAGGGATGCGTGATATAATCGGCCCCCTATCGGTATCGGCCTTAAAACTGAATATCGGACATCGGCCACCCCACCGATATTTAACCCGATATTTGATCAGCTTCTGAGTTTCTAAAGTCTAAAAAAAATAAAAAATACTACTTCTTCTTCTTCCTCAAAAACTTCTTTTTTACAGACTTAAAAACTTCTAAAGACGAGGGAAAAAATATTGATATATTAAAATATCACAATATCTTCATATGCTGATATGTTGCCATTTAAAAACACCATATCAATCTCTTTCACTAATGAAATATTGCTATATGTCATCGTTATGCTTTGAAATCCCCAGAAAATTCACGAAATGTTGCCATATTTTTAAATGTTGATATATTGACGCGGTATCGATCTATTTTACTAACAAAATCTCACAAGAATTTGCAAAATATCACGAGAGTTTGTAACAGAACGATGAAATTTCACGAGATTTTGAAAGTAAAATAGATCGATACCGCGTTTTTAAAAATCAATTGATATCAGCATATGAAAATATATTTGAGAATATTATTTTTCAAAGTGTCAGAAATGGATAACAAAACTGCTATTTTCAATGACTACTTATTTTTGTTCAGCTTTAACATCGGTATCGATATCGGTTATCGGCTACGTGAGTTTTAAAATATCGGCATATCGGCCAAAATCCCAATATCGTGCATCCCTAGTAATAAATTATTAATATCAAAAATGTATTTCTGTTTTTTCTTTTTACATATTTTGTTAAAAGGCCTGCAAACCAAAAAAAAAGTAATTTTCTGTTTTGTTTCATTCTTGGATCGGGCTTTAAAGGGTTAAATGACCAATTAGGAAGAAGACATAGAGATACTTTCAAGAAAAAAAATATCACAACAAGAAGAGGTGTTGATTAAAGGGACGAAGGGCTGCTAATGGTTTCTGCTAATGCTTTCTGATGAGTTCACATCATAATCAACTGGGTATTTCCTCCTCTGAGCTGCATATGCTAGGACATCAGGTGAAGAGAATCCAGCATGTAACATCCCTGATTTATAAAGAAATTAGCTAAAACCATAAAGTTCATTTTGACGCATTGTTTTGCGACTCATACATTTAGAATAAATAATTAGTTTTTAAGTAGCGGAGGTCTTTAAAATCACCTCTAGGATCTTTCTGTCAATGCTGACGACCATCCTCTTCTCTTCGCACTGCACTGTGAGGGCGTCGTCCAAGGGGCCTTTCACCGGCCCGGACTCTTCTTCAACTCCAGACAAGGGGCCAGGAAATGGAAACGGCGGGCTGGAGCGTGGCGGCGCCGGTCTGTTTTCTATCACAGGAATGTGACGCTGAAAGGACATCTTAGGCGGCAATTCTCTGTGTGGAGAATACGCCACATCTGGAAGACACAAGCCGTTTCATTAAGGTCGACCTTTGACCCCGGGGTATCGCTGTGATACCTGCGAGCTTCAGGTTACCTTGCTCTCGCAGACGAATGTTGAAGCGGCTTGCCAAGGGGGTGCTGGTGTAGGATGTGACCGGACCGTAGCCCTTTTCTTCCGCCCACTGAATCAAGGCCTGGGGTCCTGATGGTAGCGAGACTTTGGGTTTTATCCTTATCGTCTGTGAGCCAACACTCACAGCATTAGAGGCCTGTTGAAAAGAAATTTCATTAAATGCTTTTGGTTTAAGAAAAAAAAAACAAGAAAAGCCAAAAGACCATAAAAAGAAGACTCATCATCACGGATGTTCGTCAAGTACGGTCCTGCACTGATTCTGTGGCGAATGTGAATCACGGTGAGGTAATGGGCGTGTGACGGCCTGACCATGCAAGTTTGCTCTTAAAAAATTTGGTTCCTGCCCATGCTTCTCCCACCATGTAAGGATTTCTATTTTTTTTTACAGTCGTTTCCCACAGATTAGAAACTCTTAGTTTTGCTTAGCTGAACATCCCAAAAACAAGCTCACACAATCCTGTGGTCCCTTTACTGTCAAGAGAAAGTGTCAGCAGTTTGGTGTTAGGATTAGGAATCTAACTTTTGTTTAGCCTGAGTGATCTTACTGAGATTATATCGGCTTTATCAGCTCTGCAGTCATTTGAGCTCATGGGAAGAATCATCTATTTCAAAACCTTAAAAATGCTCCAAGCTGATAGAAAAATATCAGTTTGAATCTTGCACATGCACAGACACAAACACTACTGCACTCCATCTAGAAATCAGAAAAAAAATGTCTTCAATTAAGTGTATTTCCCCCAAATTTGAGCAGGTAAATCAGATGATTTGCCGATTAAAAGAGATTTTTTTACTCTAAAAATAAGATATTTAGATAATGTAAATTGTCTTACCTCCTCAATTTAAGAAAAAGGATGCACTTATTTCAAGAAAAAATGACTTTTTTAAATTTAAATTTTTACAGTGTGTGGTACCAGTATTTCACTAAGGATGTAATTAGATAACAGCTGTGGATAGCAGGGAGTGTGTTGACACGCTGCATTTCTGCGTGGTCGTCCAGCTGCAGTGTGACAGCTGTGAGGGCCTCTGCAGGAACAGGGCTCCAAATGCTGTCAGAGACCCATCGCTCCTTTTCCATGAACTGCTGCGCCCAAACGTAGGCAACATCAGAAGCAAGACTACTAGATGGCTGCACAACCTGACGATGTTCAAAAGCTCGAACCAAGATTATGTTGGGATCTGGAGATTCTCCACCTTCTCCAGCAGAGTGCTGTGTCGATCTCCTGGGCTGGAGCCCTCCAGCACAGCTGACGTTCATCAGCCCATCAGGAGACCTGCCTATATAATCAGCAGCCAGACCTTCCTTCAACGCCGCAGTGTTGACCAAGTTTGGTTAGCGAACCTGAGCCTCTGAAATACTAGAATCTTTGTCTCTTAAGCTACGTTTACATGGACACAACTAATCGGATTGAAGGCCTGATCAGATCAAAAATGTTTCATGTAAACATGTCAGACTGAAGATTCTAATCCGATTCGGTCCGATCGGATCTAAATTTAATTCCGAAAGAGAGAGGTGGTTTTTGCCGATCGCCATTCCGATTGGCGTCCATGTAAACACCCATTCGGATCTGAAGAGTAAAATAATCTTCACTGCGCATGTGTGCGACGTCAGCGTGACGTTTTTCCGCCTTGTCAACAACCGGAAACCACCGGTCGCTCTCGCTCTTGTTGTGAACAACATGGCGGGAGGAGTCTAGGAACGCTGACTTATACACTCAAGTTCATTTAAAGCTGCAGGAAGCAGGAATTTATCCTCCTCCTCTTCCTCTTCTTCCTCTCCACAGCCCACTTGCTCTCCCACGCCGGTTCAATCGCTCATTCTCTACATTTTCTCTCGGACATTTCGCTGCCAAGCGCTTTTTTCCTCCTCTCTCCATTTTTCTTTCCGCTCGCTCCGAGCGCATCGTTTGTCAGGCCTCCCAAAAACCAGACGCAGACAGAACTGCCAAGTTTGGCAGGAAGTTCTGCGCATGCTTAAAAGATTTAATCTGATCCAACGCTTGGTACATGTATACACACGTCATGATCGGATCATTTCATTTAGTGTCCATGTAAACGGAGATTTTGAATTTCCGATCAACCAAGGTTTGGATCGGATCGGGGAAATTTTGCGCATGTAAACGTAGCTTAAGAGAAACCCAATTCTAACCTGCCTCTGTCTTCTCGCTCATAGGAAACCCTTCTCTCGTCTGAAGCTCTGGATGAGCTTAGCCTGTTACCTGCCTGCCTGCCCTAGAGAGCCAAACCTGAAGATCTCACTCTGGAATCCACCTGCTGCTCTTAAGGAAAGAGCTAATCACTCAAACCAAGGTCTGTCACTAGAAAGTCAGAAGCTAGACGCTGCTGCTGCTGAGCACTCTGCTGAACCAACAGTCTCTGGACCCAACCGGTTCCCTCTCTCAGAAAAGAAAGCCTGGACCTCTTCAAGGTATTTTCAGAAACATCTGAAAACTAAACAACTAATCTGTTAACCTGGCTAATCAAACTATCCGTCTCTGCAGACGCCTGAGAATCCTGCCCGGACCAGTTTCCTGAATCCAGTTCATGTTATCTCTGTGCAAACCTTTAATAAACTCTGTTGAACTTTTTATCAGTCTCCAAGTGGTGTTCTGCATGTGGGTTTGATTTCTAAACCAACCATGACAGATTAGGATTATGCACGCCATGATATTGTACGTTTCCAGTCTCATATAAGCTGTTTTCCTTATTCTACACAATATTGCTCAATAATCCATGATGAAAAAAATTACTGAATTAACTTAACATATTTAACATATTTAATTTCTCTTTTTGATCAAAAATGAGTTAAAAAAAAGTACAATTGCATTTTTTTTTTTCCAACCAAAAACTGCATTTTTTTTGAGAGAATTTTTACTTTATTATTGTTGGAAGAAATCTTTTATAAATCGAAATGTAAGAATAAGGAATTCCAGAAATGTTCCACACCAAATTTATTTAAAAATATATATATTTTTTTTCATTCTTTTTTTTCAAACTTCAGTTTTTCTTTTTTTTCCGCTGATTTTATATTTTACATTTTTTCCCTGATTTTTCACATGGAGTTTCTTAACTAGATTCTTATCAAATTGTGTTTTATATTTTCTTCACTTCCAGCCCCCTGAAATTAAGGCAATAGTGATCTATAAAGGAATAGATTTCGTAAAACTCAATGCGAAAAACAGAAATTTAAAAATACACTGCAAAAAATAAAAAAAATAAAAAAACACAATTGCATTGTCTTATTTCAAGTGCATATTATCTAATGATCTTATTTTTAGACTAAAAATACTCATTCCATTGGCAAATTATCCCATTTACTTACTCAAATTAATGGTAAATACACTTAATTTAAGGCATTTTTTTTTTTCATTTTTAGATGTATTTTTGCAGTGTATAAAAATAAAAAAAAATCTTATAAAACAGCAAAGTTGATTGGAAACTGATAATTAAAATAAATCAGAGCATTAAATGAATTATTAATCATCAGGTAATGCACTGCAAAAACGATCTGGAAACGAGTAAAAATGTCTTAAAATTAGTGTATTTAGCATAATTCAAGCAAGTAAATAATAAGATTTGCCAATGGAATGAGTATTTTTACTCTTAAAATAGGATAATTAGATAATATGCACTTGAAATAAGACAATGCAATAGTTTTTTTCTTATTTGAAGTGTAAATTGTCCTTTTCCATTGGCAAAATGTATTTTTTACCTCCTCAATTCAAGAACAAATGTACTTATTTTAAGAAAAAATGACTTATCAAGATTTAGATTTTTTGCAGTGTAAACAAATGTATTTGCAGAAAATTTACCTTGATTTTATTTTGTACAGTACAGTATAAAATCAGAGTGCTTTAAAAACTGTCCTTTTACCTACAATGTACAGTTAAACCTACCTCGTGTTGGTCTGCATGCAAAAGCTAAATAAAATACAAGCCTTTGGTTTCTACAAGGCTAAATTTAAAGTGCCTGAAGGGGCCAGAATCTGAAGTGATGCGGAGGAACGTCTCTTCTTACCACAACATGCAGAGGCCCGTTCACATTGTGCGTTTTGACGACCCACTGGACGGACTTTGGGCATTTGAGAACCAAGGTGACGTCTCGAATCAACTGACCGTCCTCCTTTAGAGGCCTCAGATCCACAGCGACATCCACCTGGAAACCGCTGCAGAAAACAACAACAGAGTTATCCTGCGTTTGCTGTCTGTCTGGCCAACTCATTAAAAAGCTGGATGTCCTCCCAGAACAAAACTAAACAAAATCAGAGGGAGGAGATAGAACCACAGCGAGATACAGATTCTTTCAGTCTGTTTCTCTAAGGAACCCCCGCTGTGTGAACAGCTAAGCCCCCTCTCTGCCTTCATGTTCGCTCACGTCCAAAATAAACTCTCCAGAGAAAACATGAGAGCATCCTGTCCCTCAAATATAAACAGTGACGGCATGTTCTCTGGGCTTTAAAGGCTTTGGTTTCTCACCTGTTGGAGTTCGGGGCTTCCAGCTCGATGATGTGGACCTCTTTGCTGTTGTCGAGTCCAGACAGGACGCAACCCCTTGAATCCTGGGACTCCTCATAGATGCCCATGTAGTTCAGAGACAGGAACGTCGGGTTAATCTTGCAGGTTTCGGATAATGATGGATCTGAAATGAGAGAAATAGTTTTTGCTACCTGGAGGGTTTTCTTTAAACACAATCTAAATCCAGATAAGTGATTTTTTTCTTAAAATAAGTGCATTTGTTCTTGGATTGAGGAGATAAAAGATACATTTTGCCAATGAAACAAGACACTTTACACTTAAAATATAGGAAAACATAATTGCATTGTCTTACTCCAAGTGCATATTTTATTTAATTATCTTATTTTAAGAGTAATGATACTCACTCCATTGGCAAACTATCTCATTTACCAACTCAAATTAAGGATAAATAATAGGGATGCACGATATAATCGGCCCCCTATCGGTATCGGCCTTAAAACTGAATATCGGACATCGGCCACCCCACCGATATTTAACCCGATATTTCATCAGCTTCTGAGTTTCTAAAGTCTAAAAAAAAAAATATACTACTTCTTCTTCTTCAAAAACTTCTTTTTTACAGACTTAAAAACTTCTAAAGACGAGGGAAAAAATATTGATACATTAAAATATCACAATATCTTCATATGCTGATATATTGCCATTTAAAAACACCATATCAATCTCTTTTACTAATGAAATATTGCTATATGTCATCGTTATGCTACGAAATCCCCCGAAAATTCATGAAATGTTGCCATATTTTTATATGTTGATATATTGACGCGGTATCGATCTATTTTACTAACAAAATCTCACAAGAATTTGCAAAATATCACGAGAGTTTGTAACAGAACGATGAAATTTCACGAGATTTTGAAAGTAAAATAGATCGATACCGCGTTTTTAAAAATCAATTTGATATCAGCATATGAAAATATATTTTAGTATATTATTTTTCAAAGTGTCAGAAATGGATAACAAAACTACGGAAGAGGATTAGGGCCACTGAAAAAAAAAAAAAAGTTAACTGATTTTTAAATTTTATCTCAGTTTAACATGGGAAAAAAGTCAGAATTCTGACTTTTTTCTCAGAATTCTGACTGAATTCTGACAATAAAAAAAAGTCAGAATTCTGAGAAAAAAGTCAGAATTCTGAGATTAAAGTCAGAATTCTGACTTTTTTCCCATACTATACTGAAATAAAATTTAAAAAATCAGTTAACTTTTTTTTTTTCCAGTGGCCCTAATCCTCTTCCGTACACAACTGCTATTGTCAATGACTACTTATTTTTGTCCAGCTTTAACATCAGTATCGATCTCTGTTATCGGCTACATGAGTTTTAAATTATCGGCATATCGGATACCGGCCAAAATCCCAATATCGTGCATCCCTAATAAATACACTTAATTTAAGACATTTTTACTTATTTCAAGATCGTTTTTCCAGTGAAAGTATTGGAAAAATTAGCAGGAAAAATAAAAATCAGCTGCGACTCTTTTGAAACGCACGCAGTTTACTGAGATTTAGTCCAGATTGGGAACAAATCTGAGTAAAAATGGAATAAATAGCGATACCACAACAAACCTGAACACATGATCTAAAAAAATGTTTTTTTTTTCACAATAAAAGACCCACTTTTTGAGGAGTTAACCAACGAATCTGTCCATCTTCATAAAAACACCACAGAAGAGGTGAAGGAGTGGAAATTTACAGCCGTCTATGTGGAGTAAACATCGTGTCAGTTTGGGGCTTTGCCAGACCACAGCCTCTAAGGATACAAGAGGAGCGCTTGAAGGTTGAGCGACCACTCTGTTCACCACAGCCTCACGAGGAGAGAGGACGCACTAATCAGCTGCAGACACAGGCTTTGCTTCATTCGCGTGCAAAGACTTTCAGGGAATACAGGATTTTCTTTGTCTGCGAGTTGATGAGTTCATTAGCTGCAGATTTTCAATTCTTTCCTCCGTCTTTACAGAGACATTTAGATATTTGAGGTCCTTCTTTTTAAAAGTAAACACTCCCTAAACAAAGAAAACTACACCAGCAACATTTCTTAAGTGGAAATGTTTCATTATTTAGATCAAAATGTCACACATCTGCCCTGAATTTCTGCACATAGAGCACTACCTCTGTCACGTACCGTTCCATCTGCAGTAAAGCCAGAATACAGCTGGATGGTTTTTCCACTCAAAATATTCTGCATCAAATTTTAGACATTAGAGCACAGAAATGCTAGCCTGACGTAGTCCTACTCAATTCTAGTCAGAATCTGAGTGTTACAAACGAACCAGGGAAAAAAATGCCTCTGCACTCAATTGGATAGACCTACAACCAATAAGAGCAACGGAGTGCGTGACGTATGTTAAGCGACGCATAGTTGTTGTCAACAAAAATCAAAGCGTGCAGTTGCACGCCTAGAATAAGAAGATGAGCCTTGATTGCGTTTCTCTGTTCCTCTTTTTAAATTAATTTGCTGCCGATATCTTCTAGAACAGACCTAATAGCAGAATCTACACACCTCAACTCTCCAGCGGCAGCCATTGTTGTTGTCACCCAAGCGCGCTTTGGTCACGTGGTTGATTACGTTACTGTTGATCATCTGTCCATCATCGTATAAAGCCCGCCCTGGCAGAGCTCAGTCTTAGAACTCAGTAATTTCCTTCAAAACTGACAATGATTTTTTTTTACTGTCGGCTACTTTAGATCGCCAATAAAATGTGAAATAATAGCAAATATAGGATTAGATTAAATCCTTAAGAAACGGGTGCAATACAGTTTGTTCGAGTGGAGTTGCCATACGCTGACGTCATAAGAAGGGGCGGGGCCCCGAGCAGATCTGACCCTTTCAAGCTACATTTCTTTATAGGAGCAGCCTGCATGGAGCATTAATATGTATGGAGTGAATTTTGTTCCATTATTGTTGCAAGCGAAAAAAAAAAAAAAAAAAACATGTTTTGTAGACAAACAAAATAAGAATCAATTCATGAAACTGAAAAACTTCCAAAAAATTTGCTGTTTCCTCAGATTTTTTTTTCTAATTATTTTCTTTCTCTTTTTTTGTATTTATTGTTTTTTTATAGATTCTATTTGCTTCTAGAATTGCTTTCTCTTTTAATTGCGTTTCATTCTCTTAATGTTTGAGGACAGGCTTTTCTCTGGAGTGACAAACAGATGCAATCTGGTCAATGTGGGTGTAAAAAAAATATTATCGTAAATATTTGTCATAATTCTAAACATTTGGTTTTGGTAGAACCGGTCGTCACTCCATAGCTGCTAAATGTATCCACTGGAATGCCTTCAGAAACATTAAAACCAGTTGAATAATGGTTATTGTTCTCTTTATTGTAGTTTGGCCAAAAGTAACCCCCCGTCCCTCGGGAGTATAATGATCCTTAAATAGGCCAAACTAAGAAAAACCACAAACAGGCCATAAAACAGTGTGAAGAGCTGGATTTTCTTTTCGGGGGGGGGGGGGGGGTTCTGCTCTGCAAAGCAGTGAAAGTAAACCTCTTGGCTACAACTAAAAAAAGCTTTTGTAAATAAAAAGTTAAGTTTCACTGGTTCTCCTTAAAAATAAAATAAAAAGCAACATGACCGAGCTGCGTTTGGAGACCTCACCTTCTCCAACTTTGATGTGGATGTCTTGTGTGATCCTGAGTTCGGTGAAAGAGGTGACGGCCCCATATTTCCTCCTAGCCCAGTGGAGGAGGTGCTCGTTGCCTTCAGGGAGGCTCTCCTGGATCTCTGTGTCGAAGGAGAAGTTTGCCTGCTTAGAGCGAACCTCTGAGCCCCGTGGTACCTGGAGGAGGAAAAGGTGGAAGAGCTTTAAGGGACGTGAAGGAAACTGTTGAAAAATAAAAACTATTGTTGCTTTTATCCAACGTCTGTCTTCAGTTTGAAGCACAAACTGGAAAAATTATCTAGAAATAAGTAGAAAATGTCTTAAATCAAGTATTTCCCCTAAATTTGAGCAGGTAAATGAGATAATTTGCCAATGGAATGAGTATTTTTACTCTTAAAATAAGATAATGAGATAATATGCACTTGAAATAAGACAAAGCAATTTTTTTCCTTATTTTAAATGTAAATTGTCTTGTTCCATTGGCAAAGTATCTTAATTACCTCCTCAATTTAAGAAAAAAATGCACTTAATTTAAGCAAAAATTACTCATTTAGAATTCAATTTTTTGCAGTGTGTCTCAACACTGCAAAAAGATCTAAAAATTAATAAAAACATGTCTTAAATTAGATGCATTTACCCTTAATTTGAGCAGGTAAATGAGGAAGTTTGCCAATGGAAGGAGTATTTTTGCTCTTAAAATAAGATAATTAGATAATATGCACTTGAAATAAGACAATGCAATAGTTTTTTCTTATTTTAAGTGTAAATTGTCCTTTTCCATTGGCAAAGTGTCTCTTTTACCTCCTTAATCCAAGAACAAATGCACTTATTTTAAGAAAAAATGACTTATCTAGATTTCGATTTTTTCCAGTGCAGCATTCATGCACTGCAAAAACCATCTAGAATTAAGTAAAATAATTTTTAAATTGAGTGTATTTGCCCTTAATTTGAGTAGATAAATAGGATGATTTGCTAAATGAATTAGTATAATTATTCCTAAAAATAAGATAATTAGATAATATGCACTTGAAATAAGACAAAGCAATTTTTTTCCCTTATTTTAAATGTAAATTGTCTTGTTCCATTGGCAAAGTATCTTAATTACCTCCTCAATTTAAGAAAGAAATGCACTTAATTGAAGCAAAAATTACTCATTTAGATTTCCATCTTTTGCAGTGTGTCTCAACACTGCAAAAACTATCTAAAAATTTGTAAAAAATGTCTTGAATTAAGTGTATTTACCCTTAATTTGAGCAGGTAAATGAGATAGTTTGCCAACGGAATGAGTATTTTTACGCTTAAAATAAGGTAATTAGATAATATGCACCTGAAATAAGACAATGCAATTGTGCTTTCTAATTTTAAGTGTAAATTGTCTTGTTCCATTGGCAAAATGTCTCTTTTACCTCCTCAATCCAAGAACAAATGCACTTATTTTAAGAAAAAAATGACTTATCTAGATTTTGATTTTTTCCACCTCTTTAAAGATGGTATAGGTAGCTTTAATTGACCTAACACCACTTTTCATTTTAAATATACGTTGTAAACAGAAATTGGAGCAAAGCTAGGATCGTTCCAACATATTTAAATCTTTGCCTACGATTGTGTTCAAACACTTTCATCCATAAACTCCTGTATCCAATCCAAAGCCTCCAGGTCAGTAAACACAGTCCAGCTGTGTTTAATTCCCTCTCAGTGTAAACCCAGCTGCTCTGTGAAGGTTTGTTTAAGAACATTAGTGAACAACTGCGTCATGAAGATTAAAGGAACACGGCAGACAGGTTAGAAATCTTTGGCGAAAGCTGCAACTAGACTCAATCTCAGCAGCATTTTCCTGTCATCTGAAAGTAAGACCTCTCCGCACACCAAATGCTTAGTAAAACCATCTTTAAATAAATATTTTAATGAGTGAAATATTTCAGAAAACATGTTTGGGCAAATACACTCAGGTAAAGAAAATGCTTCCTATATTTAAATGACTTTTTCATTGTCCCAGGCAGGAAAGCTTAATTTAACGTAGATTTTCTAGTTATAATTATGTTTAAAACTGAATCTAGACAATTGTCACAATTATTGACTAAAAAAACGATAATGACAGAAAAAAGATGCTCCAGCTGAGGTGAAGGAAATCACTTTAAAGCATCTAATGCTACGTTCAGACCGGACGCAGCCAGAGCAGCAGAGCAGCAAAGCTGCTTCAGCCGCGCGGTGCAAAAGTGTGTCTGGCGCACGTTGGGCGGAGCTTCACTATCCTTTCTTTGCCTTGCAGCTATATTTGCTGTGATCAGTGGGAATAAAGTAGTTTTAATATGTTTTTAAGTGAGAAAATCCAACTGAAAACTTCATCATTGCAGTCAGTTCATCCAGATTATCATCCTGCCTTCCAATATTATTTCTGTCTGAGCCGCTCAGACCCCCACATACCAGCGGTGCGCCGACAGTAAGAATCCCATTCAACAGCAGCCTCTAGCCGGGTCGCCTCCTCGCGGTTCACCGCGGCAGCTGGTAGGTGTTTTTCATCTAAATAATCTAAACTGCAGGCAGCAGGATAATAAAAGCGAACATATTCTGCCGGCAGATTTCTGCATTTTATGTTAATTTATGCGTCAATAAACCGTTTCAGAGGAGTGATCACAGCGCTCTGTATCATCAGCGATGTGTCTGTCTCACAGCCAGCTCCCAGATCAGCTTCTCTGATTGGTTGATGCGGCGCATCGAGCAGCAAAAGTTACATTTTTCCATCTCGAGCAGCAGCGCGTTTGCTGCACGTCAGATGCTTAAACGCGCCCGACGCGCTGCTTCAGCTGCTCAGACGCGCTGCGGGACCTTTTGCTGCGCCTTGACGCGCGTCAACCATTGACTTCGCATGTAAACCTGCTGCTTCTGGCACGCATGCTGCGTCCGGTGTGAACACAGCATAAGATTCATAAAATCCTAAGTCTTTCAAATGTTGTGAATTTTTAGTCAAATTGAGTTTTTGTTGCAAATTTAAACATTTCATTTATCTTAATTTATCAGATCAAATTAAATGTATGGATTTAATTATGTATAGTTGTTCTTATGATGTGATCATTTGATATATTTTGTGTATCTGTATAATTTTAAAAGGACCCCAGGAAGAGTAGCTGTCAAATTACTGACAGCTAATGGGGATCCAAATAAATAAACAAATAAACCAATTAAATTAATTTAAATGTATAGAAAAATCTTAATTTATTGCATTGGCAGATTTACTGTTGCTCATTTAAAGCCGTAAAGTCTAAGTTTTAATTTGTTTTTGCTTGTTGGTGGGGAGCTATTTTTCCCAGTGAAGCCACCAAGTCCCTGTTCCAGTATAGATGAGCTTTAATTAAAGAAGGTTTTCATGGCGGAGCGGCGGAGCTCCACAGCTTATGTTGGCGAGATTCAGATATTAGCTGCTTCTTATAAATCTGGCCTCTAATGATAAGTGGTAAGAAGGAAGCCATTGTTCACAGGAAGTCCTGATCCGTTTGACGCAACGATGCAGGAAATTTGAAAAGGGTTCTCTGGTGAAATGAAACCGAAAATTAACTTTTTCCATCTCTGTGAGCCAGAAAGATAACGGCGGGGAAAGAGAAGCCTTTCAGATTAAATGGAGGCTGGAGTGGGGGTCACCTGCCTGCAGGACGGCGAACTGACAGGGAGTTTAAACCCCTTAAAGACACCTTACTGGGCCTCACCGGGCCAGCTGAAGAATTTTCTTCAAATATTCTCTCAAGATCCCCTGAAAATCCAAAAGTTAAATATAAACATGCTTCAAAGAACGCTTCAAAACAAACTTTATTTAGACAACAGATCGAGTCACAGTGCAGCCCTAGATCCAGCTGTCAATCTGTGGCACCGTTTGAGGAATTGATGTTCGCCGCAATTAATCCAAACTCACTTAAGCAAGGAAACCCTGTTTTTCAGTGTAGTCCTGTTTCTCTGACTGTGACTAACTGGATGTGCTCTCTTCATCCTCTGACATGGGAGCTGGCTCGGAGCTCGTCTACCTGGCTGTGTGTTTCCTGGACGGGGCCGCCTTTTACAGCTGCTTTTTCTATGTCTGCTTCTGTCTCCTTGAACCCCAGTCGGCCTCAGCAGATGGCCGCTCACACTGAGCCTGGTTCTGCTGGAGGTTTCTTCCTGTTAAAAGGTAGTTTTTCCTCTCCACTGTCGCTACAAGCATGCTTACTGTGAGGGTTTGCCTTCGAGTCAATGAGTCGATGCAATCAACTGGTTTTCCTTACATAGAAAACTTTTAATCAGTGTGACTGTAGGTTTGATGAATAGTAAAGTGCCTTGATATGACATCTGTTGTGAATTGGCGCTATATAAACAAACTGAATTAAGTTGAATTATCTGCAAAACTGCTTCTTTCCAAAAAGACTGAGCTGTGTCTAAGAAAGCAACGACTCGAGCCACAGAACGGAGGCAGAATAAAAACACCAGCCACAGGAATTCAGGTTTGTCATCGTAAAAATATAAAAACACTTTTCCTTGACTTCATAGCTCTCCATACTCTGTGTCTGTCTGAAGAAGAGACTAAATGTGGAGTTAAACAAAGTCAACACTACTGTTTTTGGTTTATTTTTATCTGAGATGCGTTTAGGAAGGAACCAGCTTTGGAATATAGCAGAGCTGGACGGCGTACTGCACAGGGAAAACCGTTTCCATGTACTGGACGGCTACCTAACAACCAAACGACTCCAAGACCACGGAGTAGACGGTCTGCCGCTTCTTATTTCCCTGCTTATTCTACTTCCTGGCAGTGAAACCCCTCTGTGCGCATGTGCTCAGACGTTAAAACGTTACTGAGTCGCTTTTAACTCAGTGACAGAACAGAGTCCCGCATTAAAGGCCATCGAGCTAAATAATAGCATAACGGTGATGATGAATTATCTTTTTAACTCCTTCAGGGCAACATCTGTCTGACCTCTGGACGTTCCAGACATTGTCATTGGAGGAACACAGACTCTATGACTGATTTTATTTTTAGTGGGTTTACAACAGCGGGCAGGAAGACATGGAAGAGCAGAGGGGCTCAGAGGAGCCGCTCAGGAGCAGGGGTGGAGTCTCTTCACTCTTCTTGCCAAGCTCAGCAGAGTTTATCAGTTTAATTGCAGGAATACGACCATAATTAGTCGCAAAGAATTACAGGGGGAGAAGCCTTGAAA